AAGGGGCGTTCCTTGGTATCTGTGGCACGAACGAGTCAGTCATACCATTTCCACACATATACAAGGGGAGTGTACGAGAAAGGCAGCGGTCGATGGTCTGCGTGGCCATGTGGAGGGGAGAGGGCTCGACTCAAAAGTAGACGGGGGTCGGAGGCAACTCACGAGATCGTTCATGGCGGCTTCGGTGCTCAGATCGACTGAAAGCGCGAGCGCAAAACTGTGCAGCGTATCAGTATGGAGAGGTCACGCCTTCGATGGGATTCGACAAATTAAACATACCTGGCATTTGTACTTGCGTTCCGGCGCAAGCGAAGTCTTTCGAGATGCCGGTGCTGCGGGGACTGCCGGTGGCAGTACGGCGACACTGGCAGGCATTTCGGAAAGGGTGGCTGGTGGGCTTCTTTTCCGTGTTGATTCTCTGGCGCTCGACGATGAATGCGATCGAGAAAAGGAGAGTGAACGTCGACGGTTGACAAAGACTGGACAGTGGCTTCCAAAAGCACAGTTGAGCGGACTCGATGAAGGAGCGATGTTGAAGTCGTCTGGCGCTCCCTCGCACGACGCCGTGGGCGATTAAAGCGTGGCTTGGGTCTGAGCGATGTGGGAGATCATTTGGTTCGATATTCTCATGGGATGTTCCTTGGTATGTGGTTTCTTTGATGGGAGCATGCAACTGTTCGGATCGACAGCTGCGCGGCGGGGGATGGCTCGTTGAGGATGGATGTGGGAAGATGGATGTGACAGGAGAGAAGTGTCAGGGACGGAAAGAAGGCGGGGGGGGGGGAGATAGATTACTTTTGGGACGTTGGTGGTGGGATTTTGAGGTGACCAAAGGGGGGAGGGGGAAGGGGGGGCAGAGGCGGGACACTGGAAAGTGGAGGGAGGGGCGGCCATCAGAGCACGGCCAGCCAGCACTCCAGCGCACCAGCGACACCAGGCGGGGAGGGGGAAGCATGATCGTGTCAGCGCGCGAGAGAATAGCAGGAAGGCGCGATCCGTCGCCAGCGCCCAGCACTGCGTACCCAGTTCCCAGCGTCGTGTGTGCCGTGTGCACCTTGCGAGGGGTGGGGAGACCCCACACAGTGCCGGTCTTCGGCTCGTGGTCTATTCAGGTACCTCTACGCTAGCAGCTACATGCCTGCTAGCATAGCAGGCCCGGTAGCGTCGTGCTCAGTGGTGGAGTCAACTCATTGTCAGTCCGAAGAAGACTGAGTCCGTACAAATTCACCTCCACCTGGGCGTTCGGGAGACATGGGACAGCTAATCTCGTCTGGAATAAGGAACGAATTCCGACAAGCAGCTAGCTGCCGTGGACAGTCTGCCAGGTACCGACTCAATGTTGATGGTTTTAATTGCCCCCCTTCTCCCCTTATAACCCCTCCGAGCTCCCGAGCCACACCTCCAACCCAGTACCTAAAAGAAAAAAACCCACACATTCGAGTGTCAGTACTCGTGTATTGAAGGGTACGTGCACAGGGGGTTCGGAAAGTAGAGGATGGAAAGGGGCCGGTTCCAAACAGAAGCAAAGTGGAAGGGGGAAAAGAGAATCAGAAAAATTTTCTTCCAGGCGAGGGCTGGCACGGGCTTGACTTGACTGACAGGTGACTCTCAAGGGAAACGTATCCGTTTGACGGTGTTGCCTCGGCCACTGACAGGTCCAAATGTGTTGGATAGCAAGGTTTCCTCCACTCTTGGGTTCAGTTTGCTCCTCTCCGATCGAACATGTCGTTCCTGTCGCTGCTGTCGCTCCTGACGTTCCCTTTGCTCCCTGTCACCGTCACAGTGCTTTTCTCGAGGTGATGGGGCCTCCTAGACACATCGGCACTCATTCAACTTGCTTTGCTGTACAAAACGTACAGGACTAGCGCTCCATCGCGGGACTCGACCTACCTTTCCCAAGTCGGTGAGGTGAGCCAGCCCCCTGGGCCCCCCGGGCTGGCTGGCAGCTGGAGCCCTCCCCCCAGATGCAGGCGCAACGCACATTACCGGACACGCGGTAGGCACGCAGTAGAGATGGAGCTTCTGGAGCTGTTGGAGCTGCTTGGGGATGAACGGGGCTGCTTTGGAAGAGCTCTTCCTGGAGCTTCCGTCCACCGATGCCCCTCTCAGCATTGCAGAACGGAGCCACTCTCGTAACAGGTGGGGTCAATAGAGGCCGCGGTACCAGTCGGGCTGTTCCCCGGGTGGCCCAAAGGAAGTTGGAACTGGGGAGAGAGCATCCCTGCCATGACTGGTCTGTGGGAATAAAAGGAGAAGACCCGTTCTCCACTATCTGCGTTGCTCGTACCCAGTGTTAATTTCCACCGTCGCGTCACGATAGAAGGTGGTAGCGCACAGTCCAGTCCCGTCCCGTCCCGTCACGTAAAGTCTGATGAGAACGAACGGGATGCAGGAAGAGTCCGGAAAACGTGACGGAAGAAGGAGGGGGGATGCTGAGGGAGAAGGGGGGAGGAAGGGGGCATGGCCAGCAGGAGGGGCCGTCCAGAAGCAGGAGGGGGGGGGGGGGTCACTTGTTGGAGGGGTCGGCAGGGCGACGAATGTGGCTACTACGGCCTTGCCCGCGGCCGCGCTGTCTTGCTATTTCGTGCCCAATCGTCCCTCTCGCCCCAGCAATCCTTGCGTCTCAGTGTCCGCCCATTGTATCGTCGGTAGTGCGCTGAAGCCCATCGCGGTGCTTGTTGTCTGAACGTGTACCATGTAATCTCAATCCACTTGAAGCGACTCAAGCGGATCGCATCCAGCATGACAAACCAACCGTTCATTCGACCTCCACCATCATGCCTCAGCTGTGCCACTCTGATATCCCAGAAACAAGGACGATAGGGATGGGCCGGATTCACTACCGTGCGCCGCGTTGCGCCACGCCTGAGTGGCCATCGCGTTGTCGTCACTGCAACCACAGACCATCGACGGCTACAGCCCACGGCCCGCATAACGGGAGCAACAGAGTGAGGCAGGTGAGGCAGCACGAGCCACCACCTCCTTATTGTACGTCCCCCACCCATCCCTCATCGGCCATCCTTCTCTCTTTGCTCTGATCGCATCAGCCACGCCGGTGTGCATACCTGGCGTGATGCACCGACATTGCCTTGCCTTGCTTTAGGTGCACCCACTGTGCACAGTACATGCCCCCATCCCCTGTGCTGCTATGCAGGCTGTCCTGGCGATATGGCCAGGGAGACGGCAAGCATGGAGCTGGAGCACCATGACAGCGCGACCGCCGACAGGACCAGGGCCGGGGACCGCGGAGCCAGGGAGCGGAAAAGTGAGGCTGGCCTCATACCTGGTTACTGCCTGAGGTGCGAAACCCTCATCACTTGCTTTACTTGCCATCATCAACTGCCCACTTCAGTTTGACCTGGATCAGCAATGGCACAGTTCGCCCTTCATTTCAGCTGCCCCTCTCGCAGCAGCGACCGCAGCCTGCCCGCCCCCATGCTTTTCTCTTTCTTTTTCTTTTTTGCTTACAGTTCGTCCCTTACATACTACATAAGAGCCATATCGCCACCTCGTTTGTCGAGACCCACGATTTAACGACAACCGTGGTAGTACATGGACCGAGGTGGCGGAGCGCTGCCTTCTACAGGAACCCAGCTCGTCCTGGGCCGTCAGAGCGGTGAAAGCTGCATCTCAACCATGCATCAGAGTCCACCTTGTACATGTCAACACCGCGATAGTGGATGGGGCCTCCAGCAGCATGTTGAGTCGGTGAAGGGATCAAGAGAGGGGCCTGTAGGCGAACAGAAGATGCAACTGCCATGGCAGCCGACCTCGATACCCGTCGCCAACTCACCAGTCACATTATTAGTCTCGTCTGGATTTTTTCGACCGCGGACGGAGGCGGAAGCTCCCAAGGCCAGCCACCGACATTCGATGCTACTGTTCAGTGTGCCTGAGATGCGCTTAAGGTGTTCGAGGTCGAGGCTGTATGGCAAAGGCTAGAGTGGAGTGTTGCGAAGCAGCCAGCTATCAGAAGCCAGGGATCGCCCTGCCGCGGATCCGCGTGGTAGCCCCCGAGGCCCCGCGACCCAACTTAAGCCATCCTCACAACAGCACAGTATGTCCTCTCAGTGCACAGCTAGCGGGGGCAGTGGTTTTGGACAACTTCCAAACGTTTGGGACGTCTCTCGGACTCCTCGTCATGCGTCTCGCCCGCGCCCGGCTGTTCCCGTGAATCATTTTCTGCGCCCTGTCTCGTATTGTTCCCCCGACTTTGCCCCATGGCCGGGCAGTCCATGCTTCATGGTCTTAAAATTTTCGACCCTCGGTCAATCTGGTGTTTGAAAAGAAGCCCGTTTGTCTCTTTGGACAGAGTCTTCAACCTGGGACCTCAAGGCGCTCGCTGGTTGATGTGCTGCGATTTGGGACAGACGAAGTTGGCTGGCCCTCGGCAAGTGCCAGAACGAGGTTCAGTTCTCAGGGGAAGACTTGGCAAATCGCTCGTCATTGGCTACGTAGTCGGCTGACTGGGTTGGTAGGCGGCCATCTGCGAGTCGTCGCACTGCAACCTCAGCTGATTGGGTACTAGTTGCACCAGGACCCTCTAACGGGTCACTGGCTGGCTGTCCAGTCACCCAGACTTTGGGTTGTCAGCCTGCCATCCCCTCACGCCAGCAACAGTATCAGTAGCGCGCCAGATTGATGAAGAAACCACGTGACATCCACACACTCCTGCCCCCCCGTGTGCCAAATCGGGATGCCCCACCCCATCGCGCATCTGCTCATCTTGGGACTACTGGAGTAGCAACTTGTCGTTAGAGGAAGGATATCGCAACTTCCAATTCAATCAGCGCGTCTCGACAAGATTCACCCTGAGAACCTACGTTGCGTCTTTGTGTGCATCGCATACTCGGCGGACGCCCCACTTATCCACCACCACCGACTAACGTTCAACATCCCCCTGGAGGCGAGGCTGTGGAGGTGGATCATGGCTTAACCTTTCCCCCCCTTCCGCCCTCCTCCTTCGAACGTCGCTTTCCCGGCGCTCAGCGCGCATCACAATGCTCATGACAGAGACTGCTGCGTCGGCGCAATTTTATCCTCAGAAGAACAATACCCAGTACGCGCGCAAGAGATTGCCGCACGACCAACCCCTCGACTACCACGCCGAAACAGACCCGAGTCACTTGACAGCCACTTCCAACATGAATGGCATTGCGGGCACTGCCCCACAGGGCAACATGTACGTCCGCGCCTTGTACGACTACGAAGCGGAGGATCGAACGAGCTTGACCTTCAACGAAGGCGACGTCATTTGCGTTCTCAACAGATTGGAGACCGGATGGTGGGACGGCGTTTTGAACGGTGTGCGCGGTTGGTTCCCCTCCAATTATTGTGAGGTCATCACAAACCCGGACGAGATGCCGCAGGTAGAAGACGAACCATTGGGAGAGGAAGACGAACATGAGTTTGAAGAACAGTTCGACGACGAAGAGGACGAGTCGGATCACGATGGAACAAACGGGCTGCCTCTCGAGGGCACGCAACCTGGCGACAAGTCGAGAGCCGATTTCTGGATACCACAAGCAACTCCAGACGGCCGCTTGTTCTACTACAACATGATGACGGGTGACCGCAGCATGGAACTTCCTCTTGAGTCCCCCGTGTCGGCCAGTGAGACTGGGCCCCGAGACCGTATGAACGTCAGCATACCAGATCGAACACGCCCGCCACCTGAGATGATGGCCCGCGGTTTGACGCAGGACGAAGACGAGGATTCAGAAACGAACTCAGCATCTGAGATGGAGGGCGAGTCACTAATGCTTGCCTCTCGAGGTTCAGGGGTAATGCTCACACCTCTCGATCCACTTGCCGCTGGTGAAAATTGCTGACGTGATCTTATGTCCCGCAGACTCGCAATCGTCGCTCACATAACGAGAGCAGCCTGTCGCCTTCAACCTCGATGGACTCTATGAATGGAGCTTCCCCCGCGGCCCGTCTGAAAGGCGATCCCTTTACCACCCAGACCCTGGGCGTGACACCAACACCCATGATCGCCTCGGCCACTTCGTTTACCAGCACGTCATACAATGCACCGCCAACAAGTACCGTACCGCGCTCGTTCTTTGACGATGGTTCGACTCCACCCTTGACGTGGACGCGCCTTGTCTCCAACATGCGACGAGCCGTAGATCGCTATCGCGAAGCCATAACAAACAACAGCCGCTCCGAGTATGTCGCACGTGCCGAAGACATCTCAGATCATCTTAGACTGCTTCTTGCCGCTGGATCTGGTACTACGGACAACCATTCCGGTCAGCCATCAATTATATCGACAAACAAAGCCCTCTACCCTCATTTCCGAGACATGATGTCCAAGTTCTCGAAGCTCGTCATCTCTTCTCATATCGCTGCCGCGGATTGGCCAAACGCCGAATCGGTCCAGAAATGCCTGCAAGAAGCCGATGGTGTCCTGCTTGGCGTCTTCAGCTACGTTGAGATTGCTCGGCAGCAGCGTGGAGAGGAAATTCCACGACTGTTTCCCGGGTTCGTCGTCGGCAGTTCCACGGGTGGCAGTTGGCAAAACAATGGACTAGGACCACGGGACCCTATTACCGCGAATTTTCTTGAGGACGAGGAGGGCGTCATCGAGCCTACTGCTGGACTCGACGGCAAGCTGCTTGAGAGACTAGACGAGCTGAAACGCATGCTCGTCTTTAGTATTCGAGAGCTGGACAAGAACCTCGTCGTTGCCGAAAAGATAGTGACGCCTTTCAGACACGAGGTCATTGGAAATAATGTCTGCTCGGCCGGGAGCAAAGTTCTGGAGACTTTCAAGCCTTGGATCGCAATGGTTGAATCTATCAACATGTCATCCTTAGGCAACAGCTTCCAGACGCCCCAGCTAGCCGACTTCAGCGTCAACAAACAGAGTCTCTACGACAACATCTCCGATTTGCTACTGGCTTGTCAAGCTGTAGCAGGGCCGCTCGCAGATGAATGGGCAGAGGTCCGAGGCGAAGCCCTGGAAAATCGACTCGAATACGCCAGGCAGTGCGCCAAGGCTCTGGAGACGAACTCTTCCCACGTCGGTTTCTCTCTGCAACTTTTGTCAGAGCAGGTTTCCATCAACCAGCAGCAGCAGCAACCTCAAGCACCAGCTCAAGCTCAAGCTCAAGCCCCGCCTCAACATCAACTACAGCAGCTAGAACCTGCGCCAAGAGATGTTTTCTCGCAACGTGATCAGCTCCGAAGGGGTGAAACTATGCCGTATGAACGTCCGCACCAACGCAGCGAGTCCAGGACAGCCCCAACGCGCCCTCCGCTGCTGACCTCACATTCGTTCAGCGAAGGTGACCCCACAGGCGGTAGCTTCAGGGGGGATTACTCCAAGGTCAAGAAAATCCTGGGAGATGACCCGAACCCTCAGAGCTCCGTGCAGCAGCAACTCGATGATACGCCTGACTTCTTACTCCTGGACTTGGAGGCTGATCTTTCATGGGATACGAAAACGCAGCCTCCGACAGTCAAAGGAGGCACGCTGCTGGCCCTCGTAGAGCAACTGACGCGCCACGACAAGTTGGACTCTAACTTTAACAATACCTTTCTTCTCACATATCGATCTTTCACTTCAGCAAGAGAGCTCTTCGAGCTTCTTGTTGGTCGTTTCGGCATTCAGCCGCCGGAAGGACTGGCACCCACTGATTTCGAGCTTTGGAGAGACAAGAAACAAAAACTCATTCGTGTGCGTGTAGTCAACATTCTGAGGAGCTGGTTCGACAACTTCTGGATGGAGGATTTCAACGAAGAGTCCAAGCAGTTAATACGCGATGTCTATGCCTTCGCTCGGGAAACCGTCAAATCCACCGAAACACCTGGTTCAGCGCTCCTCATGTCGATATTGGACCAGCGCCTAAGTGGTAAGGAAGCAGGCACTCGACGCATCATTCAGACGGCCAACCAGAGCACGCCTGCGCCCATCATGCCGAAGAACATGAAGAAGCTTAAGTTCCTCGACATTGATGTTACCGAGTTTGCCCGCCAGCTTACGATCATCGAGTCGCGACTCTATGGCAAGATCAAACCAACCGAGTGCCTGAACAAGACGTGGCAAAAGAAGGTTGCCGATGGGGACCCTGAACCAGCACCCAATGTCAAGCTTCTGATTCTTCACTCTAATCAGATGACGAATTGGGTCGCTGAGATGATCCTAGCCCAAATGGATGTGAAGAAACGCGTCGTTGTCATCAAGCACTTTGTTGCGGTCGCTGATGTAAGTTATACACCTTCATGCGGATTGTTCGTCGGGGGCTAAAGTTGCGGACAGAAATGCCGGAGTCTCAACAACTTCTCTACCTTGACGTCCATTATCTCAGCCCTCGGGACTGCGCCCATTGCCCGCCTGAAACGTACATGGGACCAGGTCCCTCAGCGAACCCAGGGTGTACTGGAGAACATGCGACGACTCATGGCCAGCACCAAGAATTTTGGCGAGTATCGCGAGTCGCTTCATGTGGCAAATCCACCATGCATCCCCTTCTTCGGTAAGCGATCCATGACAGAAGCGGACCTGTCCGCGCGGATCCACTTGGCTTACAATTATCGATAGGTGTCTACCTGACCGATTTGACTTTTATCGAGGATGGTATCCCATCAATCATCAAGAAAACCAACCTCGTCAATTTTGCCAAAAGGTCGAAGACAGCTGAGGTCATTCGTGATATCCAGCAGTACCAAGCCGTAGGATATTCTCTGCAGCCGGTCCCCGAACTACAAGAGTATATAATCTCAAATAAGCAAGCTGCTGGCGATGTGCATGAGATGTACGACAAGAGCTTGCAGGTTGAGCCTCGCGAGCGAGAAGACGAGAAGATTGTCAGGTATGTCGAATTCGTCTACGACAGTAGAGGAACACCTTGCTGCATTTTCCATCCCCTCCATGGCCCAGAGTCATTGTGGGCGATACGGACTGCCCACTATCGTGTGGAAACGTTGAAGGCTGACTGAAATATCTTCTCCAGAGTTCTTGCAGAGTCGGGCTTCCTCTGATGAGCGTTTCTTGTGAAGATCAATCGCCTAGGCGCACAAAGAAAAGGAAAAAAAAGCCCGATGAAGAAACGCGGTGTCCTGTGAACAGGATGGACAAATGACTGCCAATGGCGGAGCGGCCTACGACAGCGGTCGGCGAGCTGGAGGCGCGTGTCGGCCTATTCTGCGCCGTGTTACGGGGTCTGCGTGGGACGGCGTCGTCGACGGAAGGGCGGGTTGAAGCTATTGCTCAGCATGCAACCTTTTTTCCCACGCCGGCAAAGAGCAAATTGTCGTTGCCAGGACTCCAGCGCGACGATATAGCATGCGTGTCATAACATGACGTGCGAGGTCAGCTTCATAGGAACGTTCCAGTGTATGACACGGCTCTGTAGGGAGGACGGGTGGCAGAGGTGGTCTGGATACGTTGAAGCGCACCTCTGCTGGCGAAGAACTGTCTGAGGAGGCAGGTAGGTGTGGGATCTCCTTCCGCAGACAGATTTCTGGGGGGGCGAACACAGGACGAACTCATGTTATGAAGGTTTATGAGCATGGCCCATGATAGCAGCTATGGAGTGCCATAGCAAATGACGCCAGATTTCCTTGGCTTAGATCTTTGGATTGCTACGTACAGAGAGCAACGGAGCCCCTTTGACTACGTTGCTGCGCTTGTGTTATGGGACAATCTGGGGGGGTTCTTTCGGTCCTTGTGGTAAATTCATCATTGAAAATGGTTGACAGTATCGTAGCTCATTACCAGGATATTGTCCAGAAACTGTTTCATGTCGTGAAATTAACGTCCCAGGTGAGAGCAAGTCGATACGCAACATGTGTCTATCAAGACAAGTAGAGGTGAGCCAGCTCGGCTCAGTGCTTGTGCAGCTTGGCCTTGATCCTCTCTTTGAGGCTCTTCTTCTCCCCACTACCACTGCTGTCCTTGCTATCTGTGTGGCCAAGGCCTGTGCCCGGGGAGCTGGGGCCGGGGTGTCCTCCCTCCTTGACCAGGCCTAGTATGACGTTATAAAAATGATCGGTATAAGAGACAGTGAGGTCTCCAAGCAAGAATGGATGGCAACTTACGGTCGGCTTCAATGGCAGCGCCGGCATTCGCAGCGTCAAAGTCTCCTCCCTCGGCAGCGAAGCCGGTTGTCTTGATGTGTTTTTCGCCCGTACCTGTCCCGTGGCTCTCGCTCTGCAGGCTATCCGAGGTGTCATTTGCGACGGCCTTGGTGGAGGAAGCTCCTGGCTGGGGAGTACCCTTGCTGAGATTGCCAGCGTCACCGCCGTGCTCCTTCGCGACAGTCTCCAAAGGTTTGGGGCCGGGTTTACTCAAGTCAACGTTGGGCACTGGGTCATCTTCAGGGTTGTCCTTGGGGTCCCGGGTGTCGTGCTGGCCGCCGACGGAGCTGTCAGCAGCGACGGGCTTGTTGATGTGCTCAGGCTTGGCATCGGCGAGCTCTGGTTTTCCAATGTCGGTACTGGCAGTGGTGTCGGCGCCGGCGCCGAGAGTGTTCTTGGCGTCTTGGAGTTGCTTCTCATTATCGTCTGGCAAGGCTCTTGGGGTTGTGACATCATTGTGAACACTCTGGGGCTCTGTGTGGGTTTTCTCTTTGTTAAGACGGGAACGAGGGACCACTTTGGGCTAGACAAGAGGCTTACCTAGGTTGCCGGCATCGTAGGGTTCGCCCTTGGCGGTGTCGCCCTGGACGCCAGAGACCGGCTCTTGCTTGGTCTCGGACGTGCCCCAGACGGCCTTGACGGCAGCGTTGGTTACGTTTGTGATCGTTTCCATATTGGGTATGTAGAATTTCCCAGTGTCCGTCCGGATGTGATGCAGGCGGCTTGTGCCACGGTTTTACTTGTAGAATACTGTTTGATCAAAGTTCGTTGAGCATGAGAAGGGTGAGGGAAGAGGGCGCGCGGGGGGTGGTACGTGAGAGGGTGATGATTGTGAAGGTTGAAGTCTGGAGGGCGGGGGTGTCAAGTTGCGGTTCTTATGATATCTAGATTGTCGTGCATCAGGAGCGATCTGACGTATTCAGGGAGATTGGCAAGGCGACTCACTAGCCAAGACTGGGGATGGCCTGGTACCTCGGGGACGAGTGCCCGTATCTTGGGCTGAGCTTGTCCCTCTTTGCCTGGTCACGGGCGCCATCTCAGAGGTTGGTCCTGCATCACAGCCGATGACGTCGTGGGCCAACCCCAGACGGGAAGAACGGAAAGGGTCAGACCTGCCAGCTCAAAGGACAGCCAGGGCGCTGGGTCAGAAGATCACTGCCGCCACGTGTTACGTCATACAGACTGCTGCCCGAATCATCTTGCCTTCTGGCCTGCGAAAAGTAATGATATTCTGTCAGTGCCTGGATCAGACCAGGATACATGGTGAGGGCAGCATAGAGGGGCGGCTACTGAGGTTGAAGCCCTCTACCCTGGTGGGAGGCCATCAGCCGCGCCGTTGCGAGTGTGGATGTGTGATGTAGCTTGGCACGGCAATCTTGCGTCGATGGTCGTTCATTCAATTGCAGTGCATATCTCCCCACACGTCGGGGCATGGCGGGGTGGGGATGATTGCCACTGTTCTTTTCGACCCTGAAGTTCAACTCGAGGTAATTCACGGTGGCTTTCGTCGAGAGTCTCTTCTGGGCTGGATGTTTTGTAGAGGGTGTGGGGTACCTGGTGTGGTTTTACCCCGCTGAACGTCCATCCGGCTACCTAGGAACTAAGGTACCTAAGGTAAGGTACCTACGTAGGAGTCTTGAGCACCGATGCACGCTGTTTGTGGGCACTTGATCGCCAGAGACGAACCTGGGAACCAATTGCTTTAAATGGCCGACCCTGCCTAGGTAGGTAAGCAGTTGAAACCGCAGGGGTCATGAGAGATTCCTTGTTCCTTGGCAAGCCCGACCACCGAACCACCTAACCCGCCTCCCTGCCTATAAAAAAGCACCTGCCTAGGTGCTTAACCAGAGCGCGGGTAATCCTACGGGCTACCCAAGGGTACTGTACAGCAGCCCCTGTGATCACCGGCGGCCAGAGCCTTGGCCCTCGAGAAACAGCGGAGAAACGTAGTCCGACGGAGGCGGGCCAGCCTAGTAACCGGCCCCTTAGCACGTGATGTCGGATGGGAGAAGGTGTACCTTGAGTGCCTGAGGTAAGGCAGGTACCTAGGTGAGGTCGGCAAGGTCAAAAGGGTTGTAGAAGGTAAGGTACCTACCAACTAGAGGAATAGAGCTGGCGCCAGGGTCCGCCTGAGACACGGGGCTTCGGACGGGGTCTGGACTGCGAACCTCCCCAGCTCCCCAGCTCCCCATCTCCTCGTCCGGGCGGCGACCTGTCGTATGCGTGTGTGAGCGCTGAACGTTGGGAAGACGGACGGCTGGCTCGGATTATCAATCAGGACGATTCATGAACCCACCACCAGAGTTCTCAGTGCATCGTACCTACATTGCATCGCCTCCGATCTTGAGCGCCCTCCCCTGCATTGTATTCGCCTCCACTGTATCGCGCCAACAGTTGGTGCCTTGCCTTACCTTGTCTTGCCTATCTGAGAAATACGACTCCATCAACCACCATCCTAAGTATAGGACCGACCTGTCGTACTTGAGCGTCCGGTACCCTTGTAGGCCCTGCAGCGTCAAGGGGGACGTTTGACTGACTGGGGAAGCCACTTGCCATCAGCTCATCTGGCTCGCCGACAAACGCCCGAGGACACACACACACACCACGCACGACGCGCACCGGCACTATCCCATGCAACAAAACGTCTACTGGTGGGCGCTGACGTTCTCTTGGAGGTGATCTTGTGGCCCTGCACTGCCGGCCTCTTGTTTGGGACATGGACGACTAGGCCACGTTCGTGAGCCAAAGTAGCAGCAGCATTCTTCTCGTCACGAAACAAGCTTTTCTCGGTGACAACTGGCTACTGTTGTATTGGTGGACACTGGGAAAACCAGTGAGCCGAGTCAACTACTCACATGCCGTAGTATACGGATCTCTTCACGCCCCCACGCCCCCTTTCCCCGCGCTTCCACTCATCTACACCATGGTTTACTGCGGTAAGGCCTCACAGGGCTGCGAGCACTGCCGAGTCCGCCGTATCAAGGTAAGTCGCTATGGACAGAAAATCCCGAGTGCCTATTTCTGGTTTCTGTCTCTAAACAGCAAGACACATAGTGCAACAAGGCCAAACCCGAATGCTCGCAGTGTGTTCGTGCAGGCAAAAAATGCCCTGGATACCGGGATCAGCTGTCGCTCATGTTCCGCGATGAGAGCACCAAGGTCATTCAGAAAGCGCATGCTCAATGGGGACATGATTCTGCGTCAGATACTACGTCCACTGTCGCTGTTTCGACCGCGGCTGTGTCCCGGCGACCTTCGAATTCCACCTCAATCTCATCTCCCTCCCCCCCATTTCAGCCGCCACGTCCGCTCTCCGTTTCTGCTGTAGCCAGCTTCTCTCCCAGTACGCATCCTGAACCCCCGAAACCGGATCCTCAATGGAGCACCCCGTCACCGTTTCCGTCCGGCGAATTGCAACGTTCGCCTTCGATCGTCGTGCCCTCAGCTGCGAATGCCGTGGTCGTCGTGAAGGAGGAGCCAGCCGAGCCTGCGCTGTCCTCGATCTTGATAGGACCCAGCCTAGAGGAACGCGGTATTCAGTTTTATGTCGACCGATACCTCCTTGGTCACCCAGACGAGCCAAAAACGATCGGCGAGCTTGGTTCGTCAGCTTGGCTGTGGAATCCTGCCCTCCAGCATGTCATGGCGGCAGTCGGGCTCGCAGGCTTGTCGAATCTCACGGGCAATGCAGGTACGTCGTCGACGTGGTGGGATCGTCCGAGGCTCCCGATTGCTCACATTCCACCCGCTAGACATGATGGCCGCGGCGCGGCAAAAGTATGGCCAAGCACTGCGCCAGACCGGCCAGTTGATTCAGCCACCAAACGCGCCGAGTCTCGAAGTGACCATACGGTCTGTCGTCATGCTTGCCATGTTTGAGGTGAGGCTTCATTGATTCTCCGAAGTATGACCATGGGATATTGACATAGCCCTTCGCAAGGTCGTCAAGGGCACACATCATGCCACGGGCACTGTGCACGCTCATGTCATGGGTGGCGCCGCGCTTATGAGGAGCTGGTGTCCTTTACCCAACGCCCCATTTGGAGGGTTTAGAGCCTTGATGCAATTGTGTTATTCCATGGTAAGCAAATGCCAGAGCCGATCACAACCACCTAAAGGCACTTTTTTGGTGGTAAAGGTGCAGGAACATAGTTGACTTTGGGCCCGCTAGTTCATTCCCATACAAGTTACTGCAATGGAGGTACCCCGCGAATTTTTTGACTGGATTTCATTCGGCACTCGACTCCAGCATCCTACCGACCAGCCGTCCACGGACCTTGCTTTCCTGATTGCTCGCTTTGTCCAAATATCTTCTTTCATACAGGGCCATGTTCTCAGCGACGGGCAGCCGAAAACTACTAACACAATTCGCCAGCTTTTGAGTCTCGACATCGAGCTGGGGACCTGGGCTGACAGTCTAGAGGGTCAATGGCTCTACCGCATAGAGAAAGCACCCGATCTTCCGCCACGAGCAGTCTTTCGAGGAGAATACCATCTATACTTCGATGTGTGGTTTGCCAGGATCTGGAATTACTACCGCTGGGCCCGGATATTGGTGGACCAGAATTTGCTTGATCTCATCAACCAGAACCCGATATCGAGTCTGCCCCTCGTGTCGGTTGCTAGGCGGGCACAGGTACTGGACACAATTCGAGCGCTGGCACAAGATGTGTTAGTCAGCACACCGAGCCATTGGAGGCATCCTCTGCTCGACGATGCAGCTCAGATCACCGTCGAGAGTGCAGGGGGTGGCGGGTCTGGTGCTGCAGGTCTGCCTGCCCTCCTGTTCCAGCTCAAGGTGGCCAGTTGCGCTCCGGGCGTGCCAAAATCCTACTGGGCGTGGGCGCTGGACATCATACAGACTATCTGGGGTGACATGGGGATGTTGCACGCTCGTTCCATGATGGAGGCTATGCGTGCTCACCAGGACGCCCTGGACAGGACTGGAGTGGAGGGCATTTTATCCGACGAATGGTAAAACATATTACGGCCGCTCACTTTTTTCTGGCGTTATAATTGAAGGAATCAAGGCATGAACTGCCTGGCTGGACTCTGACATGGGATGGGTTGCGGAAAACAAATGAGTGAACACATTGTTCAATTTTGATACCATGGAGGATCACGACCGAGCAGCATCTGATTTCGAACCCAATAACGAGCAAAATACGTCACCGAACTTACGACCGTCGGACTTCGTATCGATGTGATGTGGTGTTCTTGTATTCCTCCTGGGTATCATTTCGATGTCCATTTCATTCAAGGCTGCGGAAGTGGGTGTGCCTCAGCCTGCGCGCTTACAGCGCTTGCCCCACACGCGGCTGAAGTTTGGCGTAAGGCCTGGCAAATGTGGAGCCTGTGCTCGACTTAACATGACATGCTTGTTCTGGGAACAGACGCATGACTAGCCCCGATGGCATTGACGCGACGACAACCAACGACAACGACCAGTGCGACGACCGACGGCGACCAACATCGAAGCCCTGCGCATATTCATCCATAGGTGCCTGCCGATCTCGAATACATAGCGACGTCAGTCGAATGATCAACCCCACTCGGCGACCTCTTGCTGGTCTGGACGGCCCTCATCTCTCCTGAGCAATCGCAGCCGGCATATCAGTCGCGCCAAAGAGGGAGCGGGACATCATGGCGACAGCCTCGGGAGCCGGGAAAAGTACGCGCTCGTTCGATGCCAGTTGATACTCTCGGCCCTGCTGACAACACTCTCCCAGACGAAGAACATACCATCAAGGTGGCGTCGAAAAAGGATAAAGCGACTGGAACCATCAAATTGAAGAAGCCGGTCCCGAAACCGAACAAACCCGGAATATGGCGAGATGGCAATCTTATGGATGGTATGGTGTTCCCTTTTTTTGCACCGTTGCATGGGTGGTAGATATCGCTGACACTGCATCGTGGATCCCAGATGAGCGCAAGCGGAAGGGGAATGACGCTGCGGACGCGCCTTCGCCCGGACCTGTAGTCAACCCACTCGATGATACTGCCAGAGAGACATTCGCTACCGGTCGGCCTCTTGAAGACAGCCCCGATTTGCAACAATGCAAGCACTGTAAGAAGAGCATCCTCAAGACGGCAGCCAAAGGCCATATTGCTCAGTGTCTGAGGGTAAAGAAAGAGAAGGCCCAGAGGAAGAAAGAAGCCCGCGAGGCCAGGGAGCGGGCCAAAGAAGCTCTTCGCGAAGAGGAGGCCAAGAAGGCTGACGAAGACGGCGACGGCAAAGGAGACGACGATAGTGACGGTGACGAGGAAGGCGACAAGAAAGGCGTCGCGGGCGCTAGCAAGACTGCCAAAAAGGCCGCTGGAAAGAAGGCGGATGGGGATGCCAGCAAGGGGAAGAAACGCAAGGCAGAAGGAGACGCTGACAAGGGACCCAAGACCAAGAAAAAGAAGGAAGATCCAAAGCCTAAAGTCCCGAAACCCAAGGGTAAGCTTCATCAAACAATTTGCGGATTCAATGTCGTGGCAAGAAGCTAATCACCCACTCTAGGTCCTGTGGACGTCGAACGGCAATGCGGCGTCCTGCTTCCCAATGGCATGCCTTGTGCTCGATCGTTGACATGCAAAAGCCATAGCATGGGCGCAAAGCGTGCGGTCGCTGGACGTTCTCTTCCGTACGATATGCTGTTGGCAGCTTATCAGAAGAAGAACCAGGCGAAACAACAGAGTGAGTTGCCACAACATGGTAGCGGGTGCACCCTTGCCCACAATCTGACACATCCGCGCAGAAGCTGCTCTCGACGCCATAGCACCGATTGAAGACGAGGACGACGCCAATACGGGGCCCGTCGACTCTGATGAAGAGACTGCCGCAGTCATGAGCGCACTTTCACACTGGAACCCCCAGCCAGTGGTGCCGCAGCCTGTTGTCAACCCAATCAAGCGCAATTACCAACTTGCCCGCCTGCACGAGCAGCTGCAAATGGCAACCAACGGCGGCCGAACAAGCATATTCAAAGTCGTGGGCTTTGGGGCGCAAAAGCTACCCGAAGGCCACTTATCCAATTTGGCAGATGGCGAGGACGCGCCAGGCGAACCCGAATCGGCTATCGTTTTCGGCGCTCCAGGACGATCGTCAAGCTTCGGGATGCAAGGGCAGGAGCAGCGGAGGCCATCAGTCAGCAGCCGAGGGTAAGGTGACGATGGCGTATGACTTATGACATTGTCTTTTGTAGTTTTAGTGGTTGTCTCGTGCGGCATTGGTATATGCATCAACAGGGTTGACTTGGTCTTGCGGGGCGCAACAGCTTTAGGATTCAGGGCGTTGGAGGGGAAAGGATGAAAGGCTGAATGCGCGGGGCATCGTTTGAGCGTCAAATTCGGCCATAGCGAGGTAGTCTGGGAGTGATACCAGGAGTCTCTTGTAACAACTTTGCCCACAGGCCAAAGGTCATATATCAGCAAGAGGTCATGACGCAGCAACATACATCACTGTCAATTGACTTAGTATAACAGGGTATTATTTCGACGGTTCGAAGTGCCGCGATACACCGCTACTATTGGATCGACTCAACATTGGAAAGCAACGCTATTCTTTTCCACCTTATTCGACCCCCTTGCCGAGAAGCCCGTTCCGTCCGAGCGCAATTCTGTAAGCCCCGGAAACTCTACTACTGCACCACTGGCTTTGCAGCTAGCCGGGCTCGCAACCAAGGGCCGGTCGCATACGAAGCAGGCCTGATCTGGTGCATCAGCAGTAGCAATCTTTCTAGGCTGAATGAACTTGGTGACACAGTTTCGGCACATTACGTGACCACAAGCGTCGGCCATCATCGGCCGCGACGCGTTGCCAAGAGTTCTCATACAGGATGGACAGATGGACTTGGGCTCCGTAGGGTTGGGAGTCGTGGTAGCGCTGGCATCAGGCTCCTCTTTTGAAAACTTGACCTGCTGGAGTGTCTTAAGAGAAATGGGGTGCTGTGCATCATTAGTGGAGGCTGGGCATACCGGCGTCACCTTGTTGTTCCTCTGCTGCCACACGGCTGTCTCCAGAGGGTTGGTTCCGGGCGTCTGGGAGGGCGTCCAGAACGATGGCATCTTGTCTTTCGACTGAGCATATTAGCAAGCTGTTCGGTAGCAGAAGTCTATGTGGACCTACAGTCTCTTGGTCGATAATTTTTCGCGCCTTAGCACGATCCTGGTTCGCTATCCTCTCTGCCTCCTCTTCATCAAAAACAGCCTTCCTCTTGCCAGTTCGTACAGAGGAATGGTGTTCATCTTCTGCTGGTGACTCTGGCCCAACCCGCTGCGGCGCAAGTGTCAGGCCAGCTTGTATCGTTTCGAAATCTTTGACTGCGCGCTTCTGTGCCTCCTCGTCGTCGCGATCTACAGCATCCTGTAGTTCCTGTTGCGCCTTCTCTCGTGCGCGCATCAAGCGTTTGATTTCCTTCTTTTGAGCGAGCAAGTTGGAGATGGCGCATTCGCGGCAGAATATATCGCCACGACAACAGGATACCGGATCACGAGCTATCTCGAGACAGAGATAGCATGACCCAAATGGAAGGTATGAATCGCGCGTGAGTCGCGCAGTGCTGGACGCCCAAGCAGCTTTTGCGAGGTCGCGTTCGTAGGATGTGAAGACGCTTCTGGAGGTGTTCCGCTTGCCTGTTCTCGAGTTAAGCGACAGATCCGTGCTTAGGGAGGGCTAGCTTCTTCGCCTTACTGTGAGACATGGTAAGAACAATTCTGTATTTCGTCAATGGAGTCGAACCGAACTTGCGTGAGAGAACAGTGTGGCACAAGGGGAATCTTGCGGAGCGAGGCCCAACAGATGTGCATTTTGGATTGATTCGCATCTGTATGCGGCGCTTAGCCAGGCTGGTGCCCTCAGCTGCTGTCATCTGCTAGCAGCTGGTCACGACACGTACCGAAATCTTCGAATCGATCGACTGCGTTTGTTTCTCTGACTATCATATCAATTTACAACATCGGCAATTGCGTCCATCCTCCCCAAGGACGCCCTGTGTGGGAGCTCTGTACGTTGTTGTAAGCGACACTCGTTTTTACGGTAACCTCGACTTCTCGCCATGTGCTATTTTCTTTAAATCCAGGTATGCTGAAATTCCTCCACAGCAACATTGACGTTCATATTGATGGGTCCTCACGCTCCTCAACAGTGCAGCAACTGTACTTTCTCGATTCCCAGTCTTTTCGAGCACCTACACTTTACGTACACGCAAAGCCAGTGTCAATTATCCCAGCACCACAGCATGGTCGGGGGTGAGTTACAGCCCTTGCGGCGGAGCTTGGCATGGCGCTTGAGTTCTTCGGTTGTAATGGGCCTCACCGGCGCCATTTCCAGAGCCTTCTTGCACGGCCTCAACGACGTGCAGACTGAGGGCTTGAAACCATTCCTTAAGCTTTTGGATGAACGGCAGGAGGGGAATCGTCGGCAAGGGCTTATTACAGGTGAGAATCGCGCTGTTGACAAGACAAGACCTTAGGCATTACTAACTCGCGGGAACAGTCTCAAACCATATCAGCGTGTAAGGCTACGCATGTCCTATACATGGCCACTTCTTCCTAACCAAATCCCCTAGGCTAGATGACCCAGTCACGTGGGGAGTGTTACCACTGAAGTATGCTTTCAAGCCTCGAAATCTTCGTTGGGGGCTCGGAGCTCACGATATATGTTTCAAGAAGTCAGTGCGACCACGACATACCTCGACAACGACGAACAGCGCTTACGAATATACAGCAAGTTCATGTCAACTTTTTTTAGCCTCGGCCAGGTTCTACCAACCCATCGACTACTATATTCGCCTCATGGGGGCCTGTTTCAGCCGACCATGAACGAGGCCGTTCGCGTGCTCTCTGGAGAAGCAACAAGCCCGCCGTCCGGCGCTTCGGGACCTACTTTCACCACCAAAGCGGGTGAGGTGTTTCCTGCCCCTTCGGCCTATGATGAAGAACGCAACGCCTGGGTGCATATGTTCCCAGAAGCATGCGTCCACCAGCATCCCGAACTCTCACTCCGATACTTCAAATGGGGCGTTTCTCGCTTGATCCTCGAGAGCAACCCTGCGCCAAAATTCGTGCCCATGTTCATTGACGGGCATCATCTCATCATGCATGAGAACAGAGGAAAACCGCGCTGGCTTCCGCGGGTTGGGCAAAAAGTAAGGGTTGTGTTTGGTGATGCAGTAGATGTGGACCAAGTTTTTGGCGAGTTTCGTAAGAGGTGGAGACATCTGGTGGAGGAACACGAAGTTCGCGTTGGGGAATCCGGTAAACCTCTTGCTCCGGAAGCTCTTGAGGGGCTGGAAGAAGCCATACAGTTGAGAAAGAAGGTGGCTGAACTGGTGAGAAGCCAGGTGGCGCGCCTGAGAACCTCGTCAGGATATCCGGAAGACGACCCGTCCTTCGCGCGAGCCGAGACCTGGATACGTGAGCCCACGAAGATGGCATTTCGAAGTCCAGTGGACGGCAGTTTCGTCCACAAGGAATGAGGACTCTTTAAATCCGATCCTGGGACCAGGGGAACCAAATTGGCAAAGGCCACCGCCTATGGTTCGAAAGAGATATTGCGCCGGCTTCCGCGGCAGGAGCGTTACGGAGTGTAATATAAGACAGTTTGAGACGAGATACTTGACGCCTGATCATCATGCTCTAGGCTTCGCCAGGGGCAGTTGGCTAGTAGCCCTCGTAAGAGCCCTGCGCAGGGGTATAAGCTCGAGCCTGGGCTTGTAGAGCTTGCTGCTGCTGGTGCTGCTGCATAATAATGTCATTAAACCAGGGGTGCTTGAGTGCCTCGTTTGCACTGACGCGCAACTCTGGGCGCAGCTGCAGCATGCGTTGAAGGAGATCGATACCAGTAGGGTCAATTTGTGGAAGGATCTGGCGAAGGTCTTGTGTGGCGTATAGACTAAACGTTGGCTTGTACTCAGGAAGCTGGGTGATTCCGGTCCAGGTCCGTTCTGTCGGCGTTCCCATGATGCGGAAGATCCTTGTGAGTTGATCTTCGTTCGTGGTGCCAGGGAATAGTGGCCGACCAGTGTACATCTCCGCCATGATACAACCTGCTGACCATATGTCTATACTTGTGTTGTAGGTACGACTGCCGAGGAGAACATCGGGTGCCCTGTACCACAGGGTGACAACCTCGTTCGAAAAGGTGTTCACTGGAATGCCGAAAGCTCGAGCCAAGCCAAAATCACCAAGCTTCAGCTGGCCCTTGCTGTTGATAAGCAAGTTCTGTGGCTTGAGATCGCGATGCAAAACCCTATTTTGATGGCAAAAGTCGATGCCTCGAAGCAGCTGATACATGAAGGATTTGATCTGTGCTGGTTTCAGAGCACCCCTGTCGCCATTCGTGTCCATGTACTTCTTCAGATCGCCATCTAAAAACTCGAAAACGAGCATGAGTTTGTTCTCGGTGTGAATAACATCGTGGAGGGCGACAATGTTCTCGTGTTTGAGCTCCTTCATAAGGGATATCTCTCGGATGGCGGTAGAAGGAGTGCCTTCCTCGGAGTCAAGGTGAATCTCTTTTAGCGCAACCAGCTCGCCGGTTTGTCTGTTACGACCTTTGAAGACCTGTGTGCAAACGATGCGGTATCAGCACCCACCAAACAACGGTTGAAAATGACCTCTTACTGTCGCATAGGTTCCCTCGCCGAGCTTCTCGAGCTGTTGGAAAGAGCTTGGATGCCGCTTTCCGTCCATTCTGACTGGCCAAGACACTACTTGATACTCAATTTGCAGGGTGGTGGGGTAAAAAGGCTTCTTGGAGATGCTTTGACTGCCAGGAAATCAGTAATCCTGATGGTCGACTATATCCGCCTGTCGTGAGACTCTTGAAACATGCAGTAGTGGGAAAGATGGGATTAGAGATGTTGTTTCGAAGCCAGATGTGCAGTGATGGAAGCAAGGTCAAGTTGGAGAGGCTGGCTTGGCCTCGAACGCTGCTGGTGGGGAGATTTCTCCCGCTAGGTTAGACAACCCAGTCACATGGCGGTGACATATTAGTGGAGCTCACATCCCTTGTGGGAATCGGCAGCTGCTTCCAATCACCTCAGTCTATCGGTTCTGGACGCCTAGGTACCTACGTGGTACCTACCTACCTACTCCTCACGAACCTGCCTACCTAGGTAGGTACCTTAAGTACCACTGAAGGTTTCTTTACCTTAGTTGTACCTTGCCTGATATATCACCAAAATAGATTATTGCGATATCTACCCTTTCTTCTAAGAAAGATCGGACCTAAAACCCTTCAAAAGCACGAGCAGTGCGGGTGGAACAGCGAGGCCTCAACCCAAACATTTACTCCATGAGTTGGCTTGTGGCATGGCCGACAATACCTGTGCATTGAGGCCATGTGCCACGAGCCACCATCTGAGCGGCGTGGTTTGGCAGTGCTGTCAAGCTGTATATGGCATCGTTACTTTGGGCACTGTTGGGCACATGGTCTGCAGGATCGGGCGCCTTACAGTGCTGGCTTATCTTGGACCAAGCGAAGTATTGCGACAGCGCGAAATCGAATGCCGTGCCGCTCGCTCTGAATCAAGTAGAGCTGACCATAAAGTGGAGTACTTGAACCCCTCATCCGCACCAGCCTGGCTCGTGATCACATCCTGGTACGTAGATCAAGATGATCCAAGCGGGGGTGTTTTGGCTTATCACTGTCCCTTTATCGCCATCGATCACCCCGCCAGCAGTTCCCTTCTTGTACGAAGTTGTTACTTGATCTATTCTACTTACTGTCTATGCTACAATAACATCCAGAGAATAAGAATATTGACCAAAGGCTCCTCAACTATCTAATTGAAGAACAATTCATGTTCCACTCGTGGCAACATGCGACCCCTACCTGGTTGCGACACAATCCCCATGAATACGGTCGGCGGTGACGACACCACTCATTCGTTCGTCACCGTCAACGCTTCCTCGCCCATGAGCTTTGTATTCACCGACGATATTGCGATCGATAGCCGGGCCTCACCCGAGTTTCCACCAGCTATACCGTTGTGTCCTAGCAGATCGCGGAAGGAACCAAGCATCTACCATTCTAGTAACGTTTCATCTCCATGCCGAGCTAGCGACCAGAGCAAGGCGACGACTTCGTCGGCGAATACACCACCTGCAGTCCACACCCCCCCCACGCCTCAAACACCGCTGGAAGGGTATTCGACAGAAATGAATCATGCGCCCGGACAGTCAATACCGGTGTTATCTGGGCCGACCTCAGTAATCAGCAGCCAATCTTCCCGTCGAGGATCCCTGTCCTGTTCACTCTCTGAGGGTTACGGAAGCTATGCTTTGAGTGCTTTTGAAGATTCAGTTACGGATCATCCACCCCGACCCCCTGAGTCTATGGACCATATCGAGTCGCAACTTATCATGCCCACACTTGCTGTGCCGACACGGAGGCCTTTTACAGAACAGGGCAAGGCCCTGGGACGACTTAAGCTGCTCGTGGCCGGGGACACAGGTACCTTCAAGTCATCTTCACTCAATCTCGATCATTGTCATGTACTGATGTCTTTTTCCGCCAGGTATTGGTAAAAGTTCTCTCATCAGGGCCATCATCCAAAGATGTGAACATATCACCCATGTCGACCCGCCAGCGGAATGCACATCGAGACACAGAATGGGCTCCCCAATCGACAGTGTCAACAGACATCAGATAGCTGATCGATCTTGCCTTTCCATATCAGAAACATTCGCAAGCACAAAACCATACCCGGCCTGGTGGAGCCTTGTGGACGATGTTAGCCTTTCTCCTCGTCGGCAAAGCCTGGGCGATTCCGTTTTGGACCGAAATATCTGTTTTGTTGACACTACAGGCTATAACACAACTAACCATGTAAGTCTCGAGATGCCTCCGCTGCTGGCGTGATTGGGGGTTATTGACGTGTATTGAGAAGTCCATTGTCGCTGAAACTTCGCACTATATCGACCAGCATCTAAGAAGGAGTATGATGAGCGGGCTTGACGAGTCGAACGTGCTGTCTACTATCAGCAATGGGGGAGGTGTTCTAGTCGACGCTGTGATCTTCATGATACCAGGCTGCGGTCAGCTACACTATTTTGGCACATCGGGGGGGGAGTCCAGTTGGCTGACAAGCAACAGGCCTTTCGTCACGCGATTTAGACCTAATTCGACATCTAGAGCCAAAAACCAGCGTAATACCCGTTATCGCGCAGGCAGACACGATGACTTCTGCACAGATCGATTGCAGCAAAGAGCTCATACTCAGGCAACTAGCAAAAGCAAATATCGCACCCTTCGTCTTCCACACCTCTAATACTAAGGTTGCGGAGGTGCCTATCGTTTTTGCTGTTTCGAGCAGCTCCAGCACTGACGAAGAAAACATGGATGCAAGTATCCTTATGAATTCTGAATACATACCCCCTTTAGCTCCATCGGATTTCACAGCACTTCTCGAGCATATTTTCAGCATAGAAGGCAGTTCGCGGCTGCGCCATGCAACGGCCAGAAAGCTGGTGAGATGGCGCAAGAGGCAAGATGGAGCTAGCTGTTCCGAAATGGATTCGACAATTTGCGGGGCCGCAACACGACGTACAGACAGGCAAGTAGTTTCGGCTGTCCTTCGCAGGTCGCCGAGTGGTCGCAATTGGGGACAATGGACCCAGGTCCGCCTAGTTGACTGGGCCTCCGACCTACAAAGAAGCCTGGTCCGGGACCGTGTGGCATGTGACCGAGCGCTTTACGAGCAGAGGACAAAGTGGCTAGAGAGCCAGAGTGCAGAGGAGATCGACGCACGCATGGCCCTGACACTAGCCTCACGCGATAATGGTCCCGCGGGCAAACCGTGTCGTCGAAGTATGAGGTCAGGAGAGTCGAATGTTAAGCCACAAGATCCATTAGGCCTTGTCCAGCTGGGGATGCAGATGAAGTGGACGGGTTGGTTTGCCTTGGAACTCGCAGGCAGTGCTTCTGTGATGGGTTGTGTAGCTTTTTGGATACTCTCTTCGTGAAACATGTAGACGCAGCTTTCAGTTGGCTTGGATGATGAGAAGTACAAGGTGTTCGGAGCATGTTTTATTGGATTTGGATGTTCTTTTTCATAAGTTTTAGATCATTGGAATCCCTCTCTGACCGGGACATGTCTCTGTTCTTCGCTTGGTTCGGATCGGAGTTGCCTCAGTGGATACATATTTGGTGCCTTGCATGCAGCCGCGCGGGTGTTCACGTATGTGGCGATGACAGTGATTCGTAATTAAGCGCAGACCCCAGTGGGTGGGTCCGCACCTCGTACTCTTGTACTGCAGCCGTCACCAAACGTAGACGAGCTTCCTGCAGTTCACGTAGTTACCAGCCCCCTCGAAGATTTGTCGACAATCGTTTCTCAGGCGGCCTATAGTACGCCCTGGCATCCAGTAGCGAACCATTCGCGCCCCGGAAACCACCGCCATTGCGACACATCGATCCATCCTGGCTATTGGTAGAGGCCGGGCTTGTTGGCGCTGGGGTCGTCACGAACCTGCTCCTGCCGTTGCCTAAGGTACCCGTTGACGCCCTGCGACCACGGCCTTGCGCTGCACCTTCAACCTCAAACACTGCTCAATTACCGATCCGCAACTTGATCGTACCTGACAACGTTCATTTACCATGGTTGGGCAGGGCCATCCCCTCGGCGTGACGCCGCCGATCTCCACCGCGTTGCCAACCGACGCCGAGCATGCGACCAACAAGACAATGCTTGAAGAACTGAAGCAGCAAAAGACGTTTGAGTCACCGGCAGAAACACAGAAGAGGTCTGTCAGCGTACGAAAGACAGTGGAAGGTTGCCAAATCCTCTGCTAATCCCCAGAGCAGACACCAGGTACTCGAGCAACTCCAAACCATCTGCGATGAATTCGTCAAACAAGTGGCACGAAAGAGAGAGGAAGGCAGCGAAGCATTGATTAAAGATGCCCGAGGTAGGATTTTCACATATGGTAGTTTTAGGCTTGGGGTCTACGGTCCTGGGTCCGATATCGATACTCTCGTTGTCGTTCCCAAGTACGTCACGCGCGACGACTACTTCGAAATCTTCCCGGGCCTTCTCCAGAAGATGACACCAGCCGACGCCATCACCGATTTGGCCGTGGTATCTGACGCATTCGTCCCCATCATCAAGTTCGAGTTCTTCGGCATAAGCATCGATCTGATTTTTTCGCGAATCGCCAGCCTGAAGCAGCTTCCCAAAGACCCGCAATGGAGTCTTGCAGACTCCAACCTTCTCAGGGGTCTCGACGAGCGGGAGCTTCGGTCCCTGAATGGCACACGTGTCACCGACGAGATCATAAACCTGGTACCTGAGCCCAGCACCTTCCGGCTTGCTCTGCGAGCAATCAAGCTCTGGGCCCAACGCCGAGCCATCTACGCCAACATTATGGGCTTCCCCGGCGGTGTTGCGTGGGCCATGCTCGTGGCTCGAGTCTGCCAACTGTATCCAAAGGCCACCAGTTCCGTCATTGTTAACAAGTTCTTCCACATCATGAGGCGGTGGCCCTGGCCGCAACCTGTCCTCCTCAAGGCAGTCGAAGAGGGGCCTCTACAGGTCCGCGTTTGGAACCCAAAGGTTGGCGCTACATCTCAAATCTTGGTCTATTGAGTCCCAGGACATGTCCGGTTACTGATGGTCTGGATTTAGCTGTACCGTGGAGACCAATTCCATTTGATGCCCATCATCACACCCGCGTACCCGTCCATGTGTGCAACCTTCAACATTACCAAGTCGGCCATGACGGTTATACAGCGCGAGCTGCAACGCGGTTGCGAAATTACAGACAACGTAATGCTTTCCAAACGGCCGTGGGGCGACCTCTTCATCAAACATACCTTCTTTACCTCAGGGTACAAGTATTACATTTCCGTTGTTACAACCAGCACCACCAAAGAGGCGCACAAAATATGGTCTGGCTATGTTGAGTCCAAGGTCCGCGTGCTTGTCCAAGGACTTGAGCAGCATCAATCTATTGCTATCGCTCACGCTTTCAACAAAGGCTACGATCGTCGTCACGTTTGCCACAACGAGACTGAACTCAGCCAGGTTCAGGAAGGTAGTTTACAGTACCTTGCCGGGCAAGAGACTACAGAGACCCCCAACCCCGAAATCGTGGGTGCAAAGGCCGAAGGCGGTCTTGCCTTAGACGGCTTACCATTGGGTGGAACTACGGAGACGGGAACCGAAGCCAATGGAACTGGTGAAGGGGTCGAAGAAGAGGTGCAGACATGGCCGACAAACGTTTTCACTACCACTCACTACATCGGTCTCGAGCTGGGCGAAGGTAAGCAATGACATGCATAAGTCTGGCTCTTCTGAAATCCCGTCCATTTTTCTCATCTCGCACTCAATTCACTGTTAGCAACACTGACCAGTCAGGCGCGAAATCACTTGATCTTTCCTATCAAGTCGACAGTTTTAAGCAACTATGCGGCCAGTGGGAGAAGTACAGCGCAAAACTTAACCATTTGACGGTCCAACACGTTCGGAAGTAAGTTTGGATGGTGCGACTATTTCGGCGGTCTTTGGCTGATAATATGCAGCTTCAATCTTCCCGACGATCTCTTCGAACCGGGCGAGAAGAAGCCGCAGAAGCAACAGAAGAGAGCAGCTGGCGCCAACGGCTCGGCGCAGACGAAGAAGCGCGGCGCCTCGGAGGTATGAAATCAGCGTACTCATGCAATCTTCGGCTGCCGCTTGGACGTTGCTGCTCTGTATTCAGATGGGATGGCTAATTCATTAATCACAGGAAGCGCAACCACCAGCGAAGCGTCAGCAATCTTCAATCACAGCAGCCGCTGGCTGATCCCACACAGTTGAATGCCTGCAAGTACACACTGCCGAACAATACAGCTTTTGCCAATGCTCTGGCAGGGTAGGGAAGATATGGTTTCCCACGGAAGGTTGTGGCCCCGGGTAGTTGTTCACAATCTGTGAGACTACAGAGTCGACTGACCAATTCCGGGCGAAGCGTCCGTTTCCTTTAGGGTGTACTCGATCCCATACTTCGTGAACCGCCATGTTCATGTTCCATAGGCGAGGTACTTCATGCGGCTACTTATGTCAGTCGAGCTGGGTTGTAGCAGATTCGCAACTCCTTAACTAGACCTCACCCAGATGGGGAAAACCCGTAAGTTATTTTCCAGCACTTCTCTGTTAGGCAGGAAAGTTACGAAGAATGTAATGCCTCCGGCCAGGGGAAAGTGTCACGCGCCGCTGGTGTGTTTTCAGGCGATGGCAAACCAAAAAATAAGCGTCAGGAGGAATCCAGTGGGCAGCTGTCGTTCATTGTAGTGGTTCGCCTTGTTGCAGTCGGCGCTTGTAACGGGCATTGCGTGCCTAGTTTGTAATTTGACGACGGTTGCATTCTATTTGCAAACCTCCGATGTATTCAATAAGCCTCTCAAGGGCTAGCTAGTTGAGAATTGAATTGACTTGAAGACAGAATGACACGTCACTTTTGGTTGAGTTTGCGGTTTGAGCCGGGGTGTCCATTCAACTATCGTCGCCATCGTCACTGCCACTGGACCACCCATCCCGATACGCCTCAGCTAGCTCCGCAAGGTCATTGCTAATGTTTTCTCGGTCTTCGATGCCGAGTAAAGGGGTGGTCAACGTGCGCAATCCATTCACAGCCTCTGACACTGTACTGTCCGTCGACAGACACGTTTCGACACCGACGAATTCTTTTGGCTCTGTTTCTTGGGCGGTGTAGATCTTCGGGAAACTGTCGAGGAGGGGGAATGCAATATCAAAGGAATGGCTGTGTATCTGGGCGTCAGATGGAAACAAGAACAGTGAGGCAATAAGAATAGTACTGACACATGCTCAGTAGCCCGGCCTGTTCGTGCTGAGCTGGTTGCGACATCGGCCTCGTCCTGTTGCCCTCGAGCTAGGGAGTCCCATCCACGACAAGTCCATTCCCTACCAAAGACATGAGGATGGCTGTGGTCTGGACTTGGCCTAGGCTTCGTTTTGGCCAAGTCAAGGAGATCTATATCCAGGGGCAGGTCTTCATCGCTTGCCATTTGCTTCCCTGCTCTGGAGTCGTGTGGTTCTAGCGGCATAGCTGAGCTAGCAGAGGCAGACATCTGGAGTCGAGCCAAGGCCTGCTTTCCGCCCTGGTTCAAGCGTTCGGTCAAGTGGCCGAGGGTGTAGCGAGACGAACCAAATTTGGCCCGTGACGATAGACCGGCTGTCTCAATTGCGGTGGCCATCAAGGCGCTCGTTTGCCATGGAGAGGCGGAGTTGAGGCGGACGTTGGAAGGCAATCCGGCGCGGGGTATCCTCATGGGTATGACGAGGGAGGCATGCTCGCAGAGGGCCGCCGTCGAACGGGCAACGTTTATCAGGTGAAGGCGACTTTGTTGGGAAGCGTGGAGGCCCCAGACAAGTATGGTTGCTTTGGGGTACTCATCACGCATACGATCCAGGTACTCGGCAGCAAAGCCTCCCCAGGCATCGTCGAGAGAGGTAAAGACCTGGATGGCTTGCATCTGGTCTGCCTCCTCCACGAAAGGACGGAAATCGCGGTCGGCGATGTCATGCTCCTTGTCGAGAGATTGGAAGAGCTCCTGGCCTAGGGGCCACTTGTCGAAAGGCCTGATTGATGAGTTGAGCTCATAATCGTAAAGCTGGTTAAGCGACTTGGGATGATAAAATGTACGGCTGAAATCTGACCAGTAGCGTACATGACTTTCGTCGAGCTCGGGAGGCACAAGCCCAGCATCCAGGCTCTGTTGATAAGCCGTGGGAGCAACGGATGGGAGTTTGTGGGTTACAGATGCGCCGTCCCAGGAGAGTGCGGCAGAAGGATCATCGCCGGGGTCATAAAGGGCATTTATTTTGCGGAGTGAGCCAAAGCCGCCCTTGAGATCATAAACAACGGTGCGCGGCAGGAAGGTTTCGGCGCCATCGGCGCCTCGCCCAGGCCGCCAGTGTATGTTGTGGTCGACGGTCGGCTCTTCGTCATCGTCTGCATATGAAAAGTACGACTCCTGTATACGGGGAGACAGGATTGAATTAGCACCTTACGCCAGACAGAGCGAGAGACCATGATAACAGTGTACAGAATGAGACTGCGAGGCTGTCTGACCTGAGTGTTCCAGAAGTGAGTAGCCACGTAATTACTGGGTTGACCCAGCTGCAGAGTGATGATTTCGTGCATTTTGCTTTTTCCCTACCTGATCACCGAGGCCTTGTGTTGAGCTGAACCACGAGGTCCAGTTGTGCTGACGGCACAGGTTCTGATAGCTTGGTGACTGGGCAGGTGAGTAGGTAGGCAGGCACCTTAGGCGGGTTCATGTACCTAGCTGATGTTACAGTTGGGTCTGCAAGGGGGCTTGTAACTCGACCCCGTATTTCGATTAGGGCTTTATTGTGCGGCCGGAAAGTGCAACACATGTGCCAAAAGCTCTGGTGTCGAACGAGAGTGGTGAGCATCGATAGCCCATGGCATTCTGTGGCATGGCTTTAAATAACGAACTGCCCAATGCTCAGTATACTCGCGTTGAGCCCGTGAGCATGTCTTGATAGAGTCGGCAGAAGAGCAAGGTGCGTGTCGTCATGACCAATACCACGCTAACTCGTCTGGTTAGCAACTACCCAGCCAGGTACGTAAGTTTTTTTTTTTTAGCCCTTCTGTCTGGCCTGTTACTTTTGACCCCCTCCGCATCGTCCCCACTGTCGAGGTATGGCAGCTCTCTATAACTGTGTAGAGGTACATGCATGCTCTGAGACACCCCTGCCCCGAACCGGCTCCTTGACCCTCGACCTTTAGTGCACGAGGCGGAACACTCAAGTGACGCGCTCCATTACGGTCTTTCGTGTTTCGCGATTCCCTTGCCAGCCCGCAGCTTTCTGCCTCGAGACACTCTGTTCACTTGCTCATCCTCCCTATATCGCGTCATCTCTGCACAGATATCAACACAACCAGCCGTCAATCTTTCTTCGGCATCTTCCTCCTCATCACTACCGTCAGACTTGACGTCCTCCCAATCGCACCATATCCTGCGAAACGGAGAGGTGTCGCGCAGGCACGTACTCAAGCCCTGCCACCCAACTGCTCGCAAACCACCACCGGCACTCAACCCAGTCTGTTGCAGCGTCTTCAGCTGTCACGTCGGCCGCTGGCTGCTGCCGCCAGATACGAAGCATGCCTCCATCTACGAAACGCATACAACGATCGCGGCGTAATACACACCAGGCCCAATCCCCTCCAGACAGGCCCGAAGAACCTTCGCCAACTCGCCCTTCAAAGCGTCGCAAGAAGGTAAAATCACGCCCTCCTTCACACGCCCGTCGCGCCTCGTGCCAAGTGTCTATGATGTGGCAAGCTGCTGACTTGACTTGCTCACCATAGGCTCCAGAACCGCCCGCCTCCGAACCCGCCGAGGACGACGAGTCGACTCTCACTGCCGACCCCTCTGGTCCCAGCAACTCGGACGACCAACTTCTCTCGCAGGTTGTCCAGCATCTAGTTTATCCCAAAGAGGGCCCCATACAAGCCAGTAAAGATCATGCCAATGTCATCCATGAGGCCAACCAGGACGGCGTCAAGGCTTATGCCAAGATCGCCGCCCAGGATTGGACCTTCTATGTCACCAAGCTCAACGTCAATATTGGCCGAGCCGCGGATCCCGCCGCCTCGGGCACTCAGCAGCAGGAGGACCCTGAGTCCGACGACTTTGTGCATATAGATCTCGGTCCCAGCAAGCTCGTCTCTCGACGCCATGCACGTATCTTCTTCAACTCGGAAGACGAGTCCTGGTTCCTCGAGGTTATCGGCCGCAACGGTGTCAAAGCCAACAATAGTCCTTTAAAACAAGGCACTTCCCGTCCGCTCCAGAGCGGCGAGGTGCTAGATGTTGGCGGTACGGAGATGATGTTTGTCTTGCCCACAGAAATCAGCACCCTCCACATCCATCCGATTTACCTCAAGAGACTCGGTATACCCAAGCAAGACGTGACAAGTCCCATTCCACCACCCTCAGCTGCAGGCCCCTCAGACGAACCACCTTCATCACAGCCAGCCTCTTCTGGAAGATCACAACCCTTTCGTCAACCTATCGCGCCTGCGCCTCCCGACTACAAGCGTCCCGGCACACCACCATCCGCACGAAGCAAGGTTTTGTCTGCGCAGCACAAGTCGCCTGGCTACTCCAGCTCAGGTACTCTATTGCTGAGTGCCAACGATGTGGACCTCAGCCAGGATGACAACAGGCACATTAAACCGCAGTTCAGCTATGCGCAAATGATAACTCAAGCCATCATCAACACACCAGATGGAAAGCTCAATTTGAACGGGATCTACAATTTCATCACTGCAAATTATGCCTACTACAGGCACCAGCCCGCAGCCGGCTGGCAGGTACGTCACAATTGTTGCAGTGGTTCATGTCGATAATCTATGCAGCAACCTGACTATCCTGCAGAATTCCATTCGTCATAACCTTTCTCTCAACAAATCGTTCGACAAGATAGCGCGATCTACAGACGAGCCGGGCAAGGGCATGAAGTGGCAAATCGTTCCAGAGGCCCGCGAAGAGATGACTCGCACAGCGTACAGAGGGGGCAGAGGGGGTCATCGTGGCTCTTCGGCACCCTCATCACCCAGTCAACTCAACTACATTACTCATGGTCCTGGGGATGTGGTTACAGGTTCGGCCAGGAAGAGGAAGCTCCGGTCCATCGGATCTCCGCCGCCAAGCTCATCGCTGCATGCGGTACAATCCACACCTGATCGTGCCTCTCGCCACCTTCCACCAATGTCAACAGCATTAACCGCCGATGGAAGCCCACTGCCGCGACCACGTAGGAGTGCGGCGGCGCCAGCCTCGTCGAGCTATACGAGCGTCCAAGACCAGTCTCCGACTCTAACATCATCATACCTGCCAGAGGACGGAACTTCATTCGTGACGCCCGCGCCTCACCGCGTGCATCCAAGACTGGCTCCTCCCAGTACTGCGCAGCGGCCGAGCCAACACATGCCAACTAGTTCACCTGCTCCATTCTGGAGGTACGCTGATATTGGCAGCACACCACTTAAACCTATTGGTCATCTTGACTTGAGTCCTACGAAAATGGCTGGCCGGCTCCCACCACAGAGCAGCAGCCCACCGCCCCGTTCTGCACGGTCACCAGTTACGAGCCCAACGCGGGGCCATGACACGAGAGAACAGACAGAGGAGGCCGCTGCAGAACCACCTGAGGTTGAAGAGGAGGAAGGCTTTGATCTGGCTAAGTAAGTTCCGCAAGCGTCTTCCGTCAGTCGATATTTGTTGACCAATACTCCCAGGGGTTTCCAAAGCATAGGATCATACCATGCTCCAGTCAGTCATGGTCTTGCTATAGCGAGCGCTCTCGGCGCAAACAAGCCTTGATTTTATGCTTCGCTGCGGAAATCTAAGCCATGAAGTCCAGGTTGCATGTTTCCTAAGCTCCTTGATGTTCGTCCCTGCCGGGCAGTCAGTTGTTTCTTGCGTGGCCTTGAATGCTAAACACCTTGCTGTCTGTAGTCAAGAATTAAGGATCACATGGGAATGGATGCGATTTGGAGTGAAGATGAATTTTGATTACACGGATTGAGTATTGTGTTGAGTCTTGGCAGCAGGCTGCCCGTTGGCCCACATGCTCTGATTGACGGCCCTCTCGCCCAGCCCCTTAACCAACCATGCAAGCTACATGAGCCAATGCGGCATCATCAGATACCTTGACCTTTTGAACCGTTCTTTTTTGACATGTCTATTATACAACAAGATTCTCCACGCTAAAAAAGAAAGCTCTTCCGTAGACTACGCTGCCGCAGAGTAGTTACTGGAAAATTCCGGGAGGATTCTAAATCGGCGCGTCTTTCAAGCCTTGCCTCGCCTCTTGGGGTTACCCCTGCTTGGCCGCTTCGAAGACTTGTTGGTTTGTTGGTCGTTGCCCTCAATGAATTTGATGAGCTCATCGATGCTACGCGAGTCCATTTGAGAGGAGCCATCGAGCTGAGTCTGGCGAGAGGTCGAGGCGACAGCAGAGGGTGCGTCAGCTTCGAAAGGGGCGCCTCGAGGTGAAAATTTGATGCCTGTGCGCAGGCGGCGAGTCTGCATATCTTTGGCGTGCTTTGCGATGGAGACGGCGTTCTGGGTTAGTTGCTCCAGCCAGCTCTCTGCCTCCTTGGTGTTTTTGTCGTCAGCGCCTAGCTCGCTCAAGAAGATGTTGTAGGATTCTCGCATGCGCTTGACTGCGCCCTTGGAGTCTTGGTCGAGGGCCAGTGCTTGCGCAAGCTGGAACAGCAGCGTTGCAGCGTTGATCGACGACTTTCCGAAGACCTTCTCGCAGACTCGTAGCGATTCCTCAAACCATAATCTAGACTCATGGTAGGCCTTCAGGTGCTGAAGCATGACGGCACCATTGTTGATGGTCGTAATCGAGTCAGGATGGTCAGGGCCATAGATTATCTTCCAAAGCTGAAGGGCGTGCTTCGCATACGACAAAGCGCCTTGGCTGTCGCCAGTCTGGTGGAGGAACAAGCTGAGGTTAAGGTAGTTGAGTAGTGTCTCGGCTGAGTCGACACCAACCGTCCGCTCAGAAACAACGATCGCCTTGCGGGAGAGCTCTACAGCTGCCTCCTTCTCATCCAGCTGGTAGTAAAGCATGGACAGTGTGTTGTACACACGAGCAACTTCTGGGTGAAGAATGCCATAAATCTGCTCGTGCAGGGAGAGAGACTCTAGCAGAAGCTCTTGACCAAGCTTCTTCTGCGACTGCATGATGGAGATGCGGCCTGCCTCCAGCGCCTCCTCGGCAAGAGCGCTGCGAGGGCAGGAGTGCTTGACGACAGGGACAATGTTGATGACATCGTCGGCACTGAACGTGCACGGTGCTCCAGTAGTAGCGACTGCAGCAGGCGAGGCGTCGCGGTTCTTCTTTTTGTTCTTCTTCTTTGACTCGCCATTAAGCTGACCATTGGCCGTCGCATCAGCGGGCTTGGCTTCAGTAGGAGCTTCGGTACTGTCCGTCTTGGAGAACAAGTACTCCTTGGCTTGCAACTGGAGACCAAGCTTAAGAGAGATTTCTCTGAGGGTCTGAAGAGGCTTAATGCTCTTGTACCACTCGCCATCCAGCTTAAACCTGTACCGTCGATGTGTTTCTTCAGAGATACGAGCCCTTAAGATCTGCGGAGTGACTGATTCGTACGAGGTATCGAGATCCGAGTAAAGCGCCTTCATGGTGGGATCCACGTCGGCAACAGGCTTCGGATTCAACTCCGCGCCGAGAAGGCAGTTCAGAAGATGGGCAACGCAAGACGAGGCCAACGGGCTGGGGGTCTCCCGCAAGAAGGAAGAAATGACGTGCTTAAACGAACGGGCGACCATATCCTGGATGGCGATATCCCTTAGGCACTGGAGTCGCGGGTCCGTGCTCAGGGAGGCAATCCTACCCAGGTACCTCACGTTGATACCCCTCTTGTGCAGCAAACGACTAAGTGCTTGGCCATCCATGGGGAAACTGATATCACAATCCTGAAGCTCGCGCACCAAGTCAGGAATGACCCGATCGGTCAGATACTCGCAGGCGACACGAACATCTTTCTCGTCAGCCTTGAGTTCCGCTTTCTCGTCGGGCGTTTGAGGCAACTGGCCGCTGAAGGCGTCGGGGTTAAGAGCGAATTGGAACTGAGAGAGATCGATGCGGTCCTTCTCCTTCTCAGAAGTTGCTTGAGCTTCGGTCGATTCGCCTGTGCTGTCGGCAGTCGAGGCCTGCTTTGTCGCGTCGTCCGTGGAATCCTGCTTCGACTGAGCGCGCTGCGCGAGCTGCTCGTCAACCCACTCCTTCATCTTCTTCCGGCCGAAGGATTCCACAAGCTCAGGACGCAACACGGTCATGCGGTGAGGGTATTCAGGGAACTCGCCCTTTTCGGCTGAAGCCTCCAGCCAGGGAACATCCAGGGGTGTGACTCTGTAAAGATCGAGCACGTATTTGCGTCCATCAGTTCCCATCAAGCCCTTAGTCTCAACACTGGCCTCGAGGTCGATGCGTTTGCTCTCCTTGTCCCATACTGGATGTTTCTTAACCCTCAACGCACGGGATAATTTCTCAAAGACCGAGACGAAGCGATCATCCGCAGCTACAATATCTTTGCCTTCCACAGCGCCGTAGTCGATTTGATTCTCGCCAGGCTCGCGGGGTTTAAAAATACCGGGAACAATACTCTGGCCAACGATGCGCTTTCCGAGGTAGTCGACGACAACTGTTGCAGTAGTGAACAGGCCGTCAACGTCCAGCTGGTTCACTAGCCTTACGCCTGCGACGTCCTTGCCAGTGGCGACCCGTGCAGCTTCATCTCCGCCCTCTGAAGTGAACGTGCCCACACCGTCGGCTCCGAAGGAGAAGAAGACGTTGTTGTAAACAAAAATTTGGGCATCCTTGCATTCTGTAGGGTTAAGGGGTGGGATTTCGCCACGAGCTACCAGGACCGCACCGCGGGTGGCAGCGTCGTTGTAATCCGCGAAGAGCTTGGAAAGGAGTCTTTCGCGGAAAACTCGATCTTGGACAGTCTCTTTCGGCAATTCTTTCGCCGATTGGAACTCCTCGTTCCAGTCCCGCAGCGTGTCAGTATTGTCCACGCCCGCAATCAGGTACGTCTCCTGGGAGCGAGTAGGGTCGGAGAGGTGTGTGCAGTGGGGCGACGTGGTGGAGGGTACAATCCAGGGTGCTGCGGGGATAGCGTTGGCAATCTGGAACGTGGCAAGAGGGTCTTTGCGGTTGTTGAACTCCTGCAGAGCCTTGAAGCTCGACTCAAAGGACGGAGATATGAGCTCGAGGAGGCTCAGCAGCGAGTGGGCAGACTGTCCTTTAGGAGCCGGCCGCGGTAGCGGATCGAACTTGCTGTTGGAAGACTTGTTGACGTAAAAGCCGCCAACGTGTGCGGTGACCTGGAACTGTTCACCTTCGTTGGTCGTGATGATCAAGTAGAGCAGGTGCCCCCTTTGTTTCAGATGGCACGGGGGCGGGTTCCAGGACGAGAGCGTGATGGTCTTGATGGTCTTGGGAGCATCGTCGGGTGGGGGTGGTAGGAGGTGAGAAATCGAAGCTGCAGAGCTAAAAGTGGACTCTGCCAGTGTTTCAGGCTGCTCAGCAGGCGGCTGATCTTCGTTTCGCTCGGAGCCATGCTTCGCAGTAACATCGATAGAATCAAGGAGCGACAGGCCGGGCAAGATACCCTGGACTACATCGGCACGGTCGCCCGCACCACCGATGAGCTCACGGATCCTAACAAGATGTATGCGGGCCTCCTTTTCGGTATAGGGATCCTCAACCAGCGTCACGTTAGGATTTTCGGCAATGCCGGGAACTTCTGACATGGGGATGAAGTCATTGACGCGCTCGCCATTGTGCTCGAGGTGGAAGCAAGTGTACCGGAAGGCCGCAGGCAAGTCAATGATGGACTGACGAACTTCGTGAACTTGCTCCTGGGGCGAGACCTGCCATTTTTCTTATTAGATAAGATGTCACAGGGTAATCTGAAGCAGTCGTCAAGCAGTAGGGCATACCAGGATCGTCATGGAGTAGGGCTCTTGCGGTAGGCTAATCGTGAGGTTGATGAGGGCTGGTCGTCACGTCAGTTTGCTATCAAGTCTCAGTGAGTAGACTGTGCCGTACCCTCAGCGGCGTGCTCTTCCTGATCAACATGGTTTTCGGCAATCGCGGCATCCTGCCCAGCGTCATCTTGAGGTGCGACTTCATCAGCGGCAGGGACTGGATTGAGTCAATGAATAGGAATATATAAACTTGGGAAGACTGCCTGCTCACTCGACCCAGCAGGAACCTCGTTTTTCTCGGAAGACATGGCGACGATGATATTTTGTAGCAGCTGCTACAAATCCAGGAGGTGGGAAGAGTCGGTGCTACTGGTGCAGTGTCGTTGTGACCAAGCGTAAAGCAAGGCAGTAAAGTGTTGGGGGAGTATGATGAGTTCGATGTTGTACAGGCAGTAAGCAAATCGAAAACTCCGGCGAAGGGATTAGCGCAGTTGAATCGAATACTAAGAAACACTGTCACAAGCTTCTAGGCTTCCCTGTGACAGACAAAGGGAATGTACAAGCGTGGAGATGTGGAAAGGGGTGGTGGATGATGGACGAAACTCGGGAAACGCTGAACGGGAAAAAAAATCATCGTCAGTCGCTGGAGTACCAGGTAGCTTAGTCCGGACCGCCTATTGGGTCCCTTCCCTCTGGGGCATCAGGAACCCAGGACGGGGAAAAAAGGGAATGCGTGCACGGGTCGAAGCCGTCGCATGAGCTTCATTAGCCAACCATGTGTCCTAGAAAGCGGCAATCTGTGGGCCTCTGAGCTCCACGGCAATGTGCCGGCACAAGCTCGGTTCATCGCCTGCAATGCAGTGTGACCTCAACATGCCTGGTGGCGCTAGTACGAATATAGTAATTGAGTAAACAAGGGACATGACCAAACACCACCTCGTTCATCGGTCGTTGATCCTAAGCTTCACTTACGTCGATAGACGACACGACCTTTTACGAAAGAATGTTTGCTCTAAGCGAACTTGCATTTCCCCTCTCGAATCCTTGACTTCTGACGCGTCTGGGATGGCGCTCCCTTGTTCTTGGTCTTCTGGCATCCAAGTAAACATTCGCAACCTATAACATCATTTCTACTCGCAGCCTACACCATATGCATATGGTGGCGGCCTCGAGCCCGCTTTCATACCAAATCGGCTCACGCCAGAATGTCGCCTTCTACGACTACGCGGTCATCAAAAGCATCACCAGCGACACGATTACCGCGAATTGACAAGTCACGATTGTCATGGACTGCAACGAGGTGTCATCGTTTGCTGCGGCCCCTTCAGAATCGCATAGCTGCGCTACGGAGGGAGATATATGTTCAAGAGCGCACGTTCCCTCACATACAACCTGAGAACCTCAACGGCTCTACCAAGTTGTTGCAGAAGCGGAAGATAGCAGAAGGAGACCAGTTGCACGAAACAAAAAGACCATGCCGTACCTATTCCAAAAGGCAGACTACCGGAGCTGATTGCGCCGTTGACACGACACGCTGGGGTCATGAGGACCGGCCGCGAACTCTCGGTGGTCCCATGCCGCAGACTCTCATCTTCCGCCGGACCAAGCTGGTCAAAACCGAGAAGGGTGTGTCTACCCAGGCAAGTAAGGACGGTCAGGGCACCCGCAACAGGAGCAGCCGATCCGTGTCCTACTCGGGCAATCCGACGCAATCTGGACCGCTCATTGCGTCGATCGGCTGCTTGAGGAAAGCACAGTCGCCCGTAGCTCAGCATCGCTACGTGCATTACGAGAGCATGTTGCGAATCTTGGACACTCTCCTCCGTACGACAGCGACACCTGACTCTATTTCCAACCAGAAGTCTCTTCTGCACATGTGTTTGCGTAAGATCCCAGAGTATGCCGCCGGCGTTGAGGCATGGGAAACCAACAACGCATCCAAAACAGGAGCGTCTTCGCTATTCACTCCTCCAAGTGCAACGACTCGTTTATACACCGACCTTGAGCAAATGAGCGGCTCCGATGCTGGGTGGAAATACCTTGCCTCCCTGGTGCGCGCACACGCACTTTGGTTGATCCGAGAGGCAATCACAGAGGGACTGATCGAGCCTGTCTTTGCTGGCATCATCGCACATCACTACAATCAGTTCGGCTACACGGAGGACGCTTCTACGATTTTTGAGACGACAGCTGAGCGAACCTACCCGGCCCCACGATCACTTCGAAGTCAGCTGAAGGAAGACAGTCGTCTCTCCTCGTTATCTCTGGTAGTCGAAGCAATTGAACAGCCGGCAATGGCGTCAAGACTCTCACGCAGCACGTCGTCGCTCCTGTCTTCGAAGCAACTTCCTGCTGAATGGCTCTCGACTAAGGCTCTATCAAACCTATGGAAAGCAGCATCGTGGGCTGTGTCGGAGCCCAGAACCAGCATCTACGCCCTGCAACATGCGTCAGCTGCGGTCGCATCTCTAGCTTGCCTTACACGATCGCCGCCACGATCGCAATGCATGACAATGACCGATAGTCTCTCGACTCTTGCCAGTGTGGTGGGCGGTCTTGTTGCCATGTCTATGGTGGCGCAGGGGCGCAAATGCTTCGCAAAAGCAGCAGACGAAGAGGCGAGCCACGTCCAGAATTATGCACTCCATCGCGTCGTCTACATTTTGCATGAAGCGTTGGCCAGGGGTACAAGTCGGAAGGGCAACGACGATGCGCTGTATATGCTCGAACTTGCCATATTTGTCGTCTCAGCAGCAGGTTTCGACAATGTCCACGCAGCCAATGACGGACACATGCTAGATGTGAGAAAGTACTGGCCTCGAGGAGGGAAGGGATTTCCCAAAACACTCACCGTCGGCCGGTACAATGTCACAGCAGGACTGGCATGCTCCATCGCGCGCGCGTCAGCAAGGACGACATCAGTGGCGCCGCATCATTTCTTCTCACAGCTCTGCGACCAGTTTGAAGAGTCCGGGTTGCCTGGGTTAGAGAGCCTCAGACAGGACGGGGCCTTCTTGCTGGCGCATAAGACGCATGACCTGCGCGACCTTGCATTTGCTGAATGCATGAGCACTGTTGTATCAGGCCCAAACCACTCTGTGATGGAACAGAATTGCGTCAACAAGGCCACATTTGTGGGATACAGGTGGGAGGAAGGTATTAGTGAATGGGTGGTGGCAAGTCCCAAGCGGTCTCGCAGTCGTTATCCTATGGCGGATGCCAAGGGGCCGGCGGGGAGACGAAGACGAGGGGTGGAAGTCGGTGGCACTGTGCAAGAAGTCCTTGCACCAATAAAGCAGCAGAGTCGGACTCCAGATGCAGTTGTGACGAAGAAGGAAAGGGCCGCGATGGCGGCGAGGCCAAAGTCCAAGCGACAGGCACTGGAAGACATCAGCGGTCGACAGCCACAAGCACAGGCGCGGGTGAGTGACGATGAGTTGGGATTCTGAGGGACTCGCGTATCTAGTACGTAGTAGATCTTGCAGAATACAGACCCAGGCATCACCCGATGCTGGTCTCTTCTGCACCGCACCACGTTGGCCAGCCGAGCGCCCCAAACGGGACGACGAATGGCATGAGCGAAGGTTACCACTATCAGCGTGCCTTGCACACCATGTACTCGATGCTGGTTCTCAAAAAGGGGCCAAGGACAGGACCTAGAGCTGGCCAATCCAACATTCTGCTGTCAGCAAGGGTCAGGCCTTCAGGGAACTAAGTACCTGGTTTCAGAACAAGTGGGCGGATATGATGAGGAGGGGGTGGGTCTTGTGTGCCTCGGGCTGTCGTAACAACCTATCAACATCAGAAAAGCCATTGGGTGTCGGAGGCAAAAGAATTAGATCAGTCGCAAGGTGCGACACAAACAAGAAAGATGCAAGCAGCGTGCGCAATTGTACATGTATGAGGGAAAGAGGCGTTCCCTCAATCAAAATGCAGGCTTGGCAACGCCGCGAAACAAGACTGTGCGATGAGGCGAAGATTGGGCACCTTGCAGCCCACGCAGGGTCAAGGCAGTCATGGTTTCCAATGATGACCTCACAAATCTGCGAGCCTAAGACTACATAGACTGTTTAACCTTAAGTGCCTACCTTTGCAGCGAGCACGTAGGTAAGCTCCGTAAGGCCATCGATTGATTGCCCACTCACATCAGGCAGGCATCATCAGGTGGGCGTAGATGGCAGACAGCAGAGAGTCGGTGCAAGAATCGAGCGTGTCAGGAACGTCATCTTGGCAGCATGGAGTTACGAGGAACCAGGTGAAGGGAGAGCAGAGGCGTGTCGATCATTACTCTCCTTCGGACTGAGCCTGTCTCCTGGACCAGCGTACCTTGCATCGCGTCGAGCGTCCGGCTGTTTCATCGGCGCGTTGGTGGCCGGGAACCCCTGTTACCGCCGTTCAGATCCACCCCGCTCTACCCACCCAGCGGCTCGAGATGGCATATGTTGAGAACTTGATTGGTCATTGTGACGAGGTCTGAGGGGAATGCCGACGCGCTAATGGAGAGATCGAGCATGCCTATGCCTGGTATTCCCGCCATTCTCCCAACTCAGTTTTCGTGCCCATCGCCCCTGACAGATGTTTGCTTGACACGTCCCACTGACAGACGAGATCAGATGGAAGTCAAGCGACGGCGCAATGCCTGGCAGCGATCGCAGGTGGCTTCGTGTAAACTGAGCTTCTGCCGTCCTCGGTACCTCCGCCAGGGCCAGGGGGCTTTGACTGCTCGCTTCGAATATATTAACATTTCCTTGTAGGTTGTGTACGTATACCATGTACATGGTGAAGTGGCACCCGTCCCCCCCTCGCGCCGCCCCGATCCTCGGAAATCATCTCCAGAACCAAGGCAGGGCCGTGTGGCCCATTTCTCAACCTGTTCCTTGAGCACTACTTTCATCATGGTATGTACAGTACCTACATAGTTTCTTGCCCTGCCAGACCTCATCAGACACGCCGCCTATCCCTCCCCACTTGATGTTGAGCCCATCAATACTGGCCCCATTTCCCGACCTCTGGCCTAAAGTATCTTAGCTACCCACCCTACCTACCTAAGTACATCCCCTCGGCTGGTGCCTGCTCAAAGATATTTCCCCCCATCTGCCTTCCTTTTGTACTTATTCATCAACTGGCTGGCCGTCATCCACATTCCTTTCCCACATTCAATCCCTCCGTGAGTCTTCAGCTCTTTGGGACAGGCCTCCCACACGCCTTACGACACTCACCTCCCATCGACTTTACTTCACTCCTGTTCACTCTTTTCGGTTTGCTTTGACTCTGCTCTGTCTGGTTCTGCTCTGCTCGACCGCCGCTCGCTGTACCTTCTATCGAATCGACTTGCTGGTCATGCTCGCACTGATTTATTTTTCCCGATCTTGATCCTGCACACTCAACATCATCCTCAACTCGTAGACAAATCGACATTCCGAGACGGACTTGGTTCTTCATCAAAGTCGCAATAATCTACAACCGGACCCAAGAACCATGGCAGGACCGGGCAAAGACTCGCCTGAGGCGATCGCCGCCAAGGCCGCCGCATCTGCCCTCAATGCATCACTCAGCAACTACCTCTACTACGTTATGACTGGTTGCTCCATTGTCCTCATCGCTTGGAGACTCTCGACTCAACTACATCGATATGTTCGAACTGTTGCGTGCCTTAAGAATGATTCGCAGCGCTACTTCGCCGAAGCATCGACCAAGCTCTCGTTCTTCAAGAAGAACGTCATGTACGCTCCTATATTCAGCAAGCGCCACAATCGTGAATTTCAGCTAAGCAGTGCCGTCAACGTTGGCACCCTGCCCACCCGCCTGCAGCTGGTCTTCTTGTTTGGCTACTTTGCTTCCAACGTGGCCTTCTCCGTCATCGACATCCCCTTTGCAGCTACTTACGATGATGCCGCCAGAGCCTTTAGAAACCGAACTGGTGTCCTTGCTGTCGTCAACATGATCCCCTTGTTCCTCATGGCCGCCAGGAACAATCCTCTCATCAACCTTCTGGGCATCTCATTCGACACGTTCAATCTTCTCCATCGTTGGTTTGGTCGCATTGTCATCCTCGAGGCTATTGCCCACACGATGGCATTCATGTCCGCTCAAGCCCACTCGAAAAGCTGGGAGGCTGGCTTCCAGACCGTTCTCGCTGTACCGTCCTTCTTCTGGGGCTTCCTAGTAAGTTCTCTAATCGCCACATGGGCCCCCTCAGGCCATGAGTAGCGGGAGCTTTAAACCCTTCGAGAGATATGCATGCTAACGGCGTGTAGGGAACATGTGGTTTCTGCGCCATCTTCATCCAGGCCTGGAGTCCTATTCGACACGCCTTTTACGAAATATTCAAGCTTCTGCACATTGCCCTCGCCATTCTCGCTGTCATGGGGACGTGGTATCATCTCCACCTCAAGGATCTCCCGCAGCTTCGCTACTTGATTGCCGCCATTGTCATCTGGGCCGTGGACCGTCTTTGGCGTGTTTTCAGGGTCATATACGGCAACTTCGGCCGAGGTGGCAGCCAAGCGCTCGTCGAGGCACTTCCAGGCAATGCTGTGCGTGTAACCGTCAACATGGCCCGACCATGGACCTTCAGGCCTGGGCAACATGCCTACATGTATATGCCGTCACTCAGTTACCTGCAATCGCATCCATTCTCTGTGGCCTGGAGCGAAGACGCCGAGGATCTCAGCTCCGAGAAGCTTACCATGAACCGGCAGGATATTCTGGAGATGCGCAAGACTACCATGTCATTTGTCATCCGAGGAAGAACAGGCTTCACCAACACGCTCTTCCAAAAGGCATCGGCGTGCCCACGTGGCCAGATGCACACAACCTGCATGGTTGAAGGGCCGTACGGCGAGTTGCACAACATGAAGTCTTATGGCACTGTCATGTTGTTTGCTGGTGGTGTGGGGATCACACAAGCAGTGCCTCACGTGCGAGATCTCGTCATCGGCTACGCGAATGGAACTGTGGCCACGAGGCGCATTACATTGGTCTGGGTCATCCAGAGCCCTGAACATCTTGAATGGATCCGGCCGTGGATGACACAAATCTTGGCCATGGACAAACGCCGAGATGTCCTCCGCATCATGCTTTTCGTGAGCAGGCCCCGCTCGAGCAAGGAAATACACAGCCCCTCTGCCACGGTTCAGATGTTTCCTGGCAGACCCAACATTGATACTCTGTTGGCTGCTGAGATGGAGCAACAGATCGGTGCCCTGGGGGTTACCGTTTGTGGACCTGGTGTTCTCAGTGATGACGTGCGACGCGCTGTGCGCGCTCGCCAGTATGATGGCGAGATTGACTTTGTGGAGGAAGCTTTCTCTTGGTAACGCCAACAAGGGTCATTTTTTTTTTTGTTGTCTTGCTTCAGGGGGCAATACAGAATCTCATTCCGATCAGTGTAGAGACGACACGGGCGGGTTACTTTGTACATATAGGGACTTTTTGTATCCAACCTAGGCCATGTCATGGCTATGCTTGTGCCTCTTCCAATGACGCCATTTATTTGTCCCGTTTGTCCGTGTTTTCCACCATGTTCGGTCCGCCATAGGTTTGAATCACATATTTGGCACTCGGCAGGCAATGTGCACACAGAGGCCGATAGAGCAGGATGAACAGGGTGTGCATGACCATGACCGATTAACCGGTGGTTGGTTCCCATAGTACCACAGCCTCCTTGAGTTGCTTGCTTTGGTTCCTATTGCCCTGATATTCCTGACGCTGAGCACCTGCTCATGTGTCCGCCTACCTGAGGTGCCACCCTGGCAACTGGGTAGGTATCAAAAATTATTCCGCCGAATGAGAGAGCCCCCCGTCAGGTGCCTCGCTTTCACGTAGTAAGTCTACTGTGAAGCCTTCTGGTGGGACCATTTCTTTCTGTCGAGTGCTCAGTAGGTAAGTGCAGTACTCGGTGGACACACAACGTTCTTGTGGTCGTCACCTCATCCCGCCTTCAAGTTAGTGCTCAGTCAGCCACGTTAGTGCGTCATACGGTATACTGCAACATACCTATCGATAAATGGGTCTCAGCCAGATCCCCACCAACGGGATGACACGACTTTTTGGCCTAAAGCTGTTTCTCTGTCAGGGAGTAGTAGGTAGGTGTCAGCTGCTCACTCTAGTAGCCCCCGTGACAGCCGTCGGATCTAAACCGCAATCATCACGCCCCGCAGTTCGCTATTGCCTCCTTTGGTAAGGCAAGCAGCAAACATCCACCTGGACTGCCTACATACAACCCTTGTCTGGTTGTGTAGAAGAAAGCTTTCTTACTCTCAGACCAGATTTGTCTGCAGAACAGATTCCTTGGGTTTTGACCCGGTCTTCCTCCTGCTCCTCTTCCGATCCCTTGGGCTTGCACGCACCTTGAACTGGAACGTCATTCTTAAGTGAACCTACTCCTCGCTTGTACTCACCTCTCTGTCTCTTCCCCAAGCCTACCAGCGACAATCGGCACTGGCCTCACTCCTTCACGGAAGATTGCGAACTCATTGCACCAATCCCTGAACCCGAGCTCTCAAGGAGGCCAATAAACATACGAGGAATCCCCGCTTTACGCAGCTGCAACCTGGCGGATACATTCAAATCCCATATCAACCGCGTTGCAGCTCACGATCACTGGCCTCGCGCTCAGTTTCTCTGCACTGTTCCCGTCATTCAGTCAAGTACACGTAGAAGATGGGCCTCGCCTACAACACGTACCTCAACAGCAGCAAAATCTACGGCTGCAAGACGTGCAAAGCGCACCTCGCCAATCATGAGGACATAATCAGCCGAGTGAGACTTTGATCCCCAGCCTCGGGAAACCAACCCCCCCCCCCCCTTCCCTGGCTTAGCGGACCACGCCGCGCATTTGCTGACGATTTCGGATGGTTTGACAGAACTTTCGAGGCCAGCACGGCAAAGCCTATCTATTCAATAATGTCGTGAACATTGACATGGGCGAGCCAAGCGAGCGCAATATGACAACTGGGAGGCATATCGTCCGTGATATCACTTGCCGACAGTGCAAAGAGACGGTGGGATGGAAGTACGACAAGGCGTACGAAACTACTGAGAAGTACAAGGAGGGCAAGTTCATTCTGGAGGCGGAGCTTCTCTGCAATGTGACGTGAGGTTTTTTGTATGGGACTTCTGGCCGGCCTAGAGTCGACAGTCGCTCACAGCAAACATACTCGGGTTCCTACACTCCACCCCGCACCGACATTGGCCTTGAGTCACATCGAAAGAGCAGTAGTTGAGGATATAAATATTCGGTATTTATCTAGAAAATGAAGCACAAGGTTGCCTCATGTCGAACATCGAGGAGTAAGGAGAACCCGTGTCTGCGCATCTTGGAAGGGATGATACTTGCATGTCGTAATATATATCCGGCTTGCGTGAACACGGTCTCTCAATTTGATTGTTGCTTCTATTCTCCTTAATAAACGTCGGAGGCTCCCTGCCTAATGTTGAATAGGATCCTCTGGCAACAGCTCTTCAATCTCCTCATCAGGTCGTAACGCTTTGAAGGGTGGCTGCACAATGCCATTGAAGACGAATGTGAAGTAGACAAGCAGCGCAAAGCCAACAACCTGCAGCCACTTGAAGGTCTCCCAACGAAGACCGAGAGACACTATCCAGATGAAGAGTGTCCGGCACGTGTCGATGGTCGATCGTGAGGTTGCACTGACACTTCTCGTAACGGACAGTCCGAAGAAGTTAAAGCCGCTAAAGAAAACTGTCAGCACTATGTGAGATGGTAGCAGAGCTCGTACACCTCTTACCCAATGCTGATCATAATCAGGAGACTGGAGATGGCGATTCTTCTGTCCGATGTCATCTGTCTCCAGCCCTCCGCCATGTCAAAGAAGCCGTAGCGACCGGCATCTGTACTGCCCACGGCGACGTGAAGAACTACCATAGCGACGAGTGTGACAACGAAACCAAACAAACCCTCCCAGCCGACAACCTGGATAGGCTCAATCGCCCAACGCTCTAGGATCCACTCTTCCAGCACAAACTGGGTAGCAGTAAAGATTTGGGCTCCAGCAATGAGGAGGACACCAATGACAGAAAGAAGGGCGCTTGAGGTAGGGACTGTCTGCATGAGCGACGCGTCACCCTTGAATTCGTCATCGGTTTCTTCGTGATAAATGGCTCCAGCCAAGCCGACAATGGCAACACCGGTTACGACGCCTGCCAGAGAGAGCCACTGAAACAGATGGAGATGTCGCCGTAGGAATACAACACTGAAGATTCCGACGAAGAGAACGAGCGCGCCTCTTGTCATTTGATAGATAGAGGCCACCACAAGAAGCAGGCCAATGTTCATGAGCGTGGTGCCGCAAATGTCGGAAACTGCCGGCAGGGCAAGGAGAAGAAGCAATCGACCACGTAGCCTAGGAGAATTCGGTATCGCGTCGCCTGTCGCTGAGCCCCTATCACTCGTGTCGTTGACGAGGGATGTCCTCGCCTCATCGGCGTGGGTATCATCAGTGCTAACCGCCTCGTATCCGTCGCCTTGAGGTGTCGATCGAGAGACGTAACGGCGCCACAGCGCCATGATGCCAACCACCAACCAGCAGCCCATCTCGCCGACGAACATTTGAGCCGTCTGGAGGACAGGTTGGTTGAAGTAAGCGCGGCGCGAGACGTCGGGATGGTCGCAATTTCGGACGCATTGCATGTCCTGAAGGCGCAAGGAGTCAGTAAAAAGGAATCGTTGCAGTATGAGCGGAGATCAAGAAAGCGCTGACCTGGTACTTTGTAAGGATAGTGTTACAGCAACCAGTCAGAAGCATCATGCCCACGAGGAACGGTATCATAGACCGTGCCGCCATGGTGATGTACGGCCGAGTTTGCCCGGACTGTGGCGCCTTGAAGCAGGACTTGCCGACGCTTATTCAATATTTTTAAGCCAGTTGTTTCGGCAGTTTGGCTTCAGACAATTTGAACATGCGCTGTGGTTCTTGTAGAGCAAGTGGAAGTGGTTGGATCTGGGCCGAATGCGGGAGGGGAACAGTTGATGTCCAAAGCACGCCTCACGGTGACATCGGTACCTGTATCTCAGGCTTATCACGTTGTGGAGTATGAGTCGGATTCTTAGTCCAGGTAGCCCCATAATTTTGCCACTGGTGGCCAATTATAGGCTTGGATAGCAACCACATGATGGGGGTCATCAGCCCAACCCCGAGGGATGGGTTGAATGGTCCACATGAACTACCTATCTGCCTACCTTAACCCAGGAGTACCTCGCTACCTTGGAGTTCATTCAGCGGTTGGATCACAGAGGTAGAAAGGTGGCAAGCGAATTCCTTATTGAATAAGCTAAAGCCTATGGTGTTAAACAGTTCCTTGTCGACGCGGGTCGATGATCATTACCAAAGCTCTTCTCCAAGCTCCTCGATGCTCCAAAATCATTCATGCTGGTGTAGAACAGGTGAAAACTCGCTCGTATTCACGTAGTACGTAGAGGCCACATCGCTCTGGTCTAACCGCTGCTAAGCTGAGCAGCCTCTTTATCCTCAGCCTCCCTTGCTTTTCTTTTCTTCCTCTTCTCCTTTGGTTTCTTGTCCTTGATGTTGTTATAGTGGGTCACGCCAAGCTCCTTGTCTCTCGTGAGTTGTTCTACATCCTTATCACTAACTGGTACACCTTCAATCCTCTTCACTTTCTTCCCTTCGTGGAACATCATCAACCCACCGGTAGCGGCAGCACCACAAGCTAGAGCAACGAGCAGTCCGACGCCCCAAGCTGGTCTGTTGTAACGATTCATACCCCACATGAGGCCGGATAGTCCGCATTGGAGAAACGTATTGCTGACCATGAACCATATGACAAAGTCCATCTTCCATTCCGGAGTAGGCCCGGCGCGCACACCTGTTAACGGTGCATCTGGAATCTTGCTCTCCGGCGACGGAACGTTGACGAGTGGTCGGTCTTCGAAGAGTTCGCTGGTGCTTTGGGGCCCCACCATTGGAGGAAGTCGATCTGAGCCACGGAGGCGAAACCAACTGCGATGAATGCCAGCCAGGTGGCGTAGGGCTTCGTCTTTGGAACCAAGACGGTACTTCAATAAATAGAATAGGTCGCGAAATCTCCACGGGGCAAGGCCGAAGCCCGTGACGCAAAACAGAGCATTGACAATCTGCGAATCCCACTCAATCCACTTGCGTCGTGGTGAGTCAATATGCTCGCAAGAGGGATGGCACATAGCTGGAGCTGCGTTGCAGAGTAGGAGGAAAAGCTTGCCCCCCCATGCTACCACCAGAAGCCCATATAGAACGACGAAGAAGCCAAGCGGAGTACATGCGTAGTTCCAAAGAGCAATGGCGCCAAGTTGTGTCGACTCTTTGAGGGAGTGTCGTGGAGGGAAGTGATACCCATTCTGATACGGCTCCGATGGAGATGGCTCGGTGGTATTAGTGGCCGTAGCAGTGGCTCCCCGGGATAGGCGTTCAGCGTGGGTCATGTTCCCCTGCCTTGCCCTGGCAGCAGACGCCGAGGGAGAGGTGCTTGGATTCTTGTCAACGCTGGCTGTGTTTAGCAGGTTCGGTGCAGGCATGACGGCATTTCTCGCGGTCATACAGTGAACTGTGCTTTTATAGATGGACGGGCGACTCGTGCAGTGGGATTTTGTTTCGATTTCGGAGCTGATAAAGTGGTAGGAGAGTGTGTAGGACGGGACGTCTGATTCTCCTCGACTGCTGTTTGATGGCGCTACGATAGCTGCTAATATTTGATAGAGAGGAGGGGGGCGGGGCTGACTTCGGACACGGGCTGTGGAAGCTTTGTAAAAATGACGCGCTGATAATCGACTAAGGAATGGTTTTCAGTGGGCTTTTTGATTGTTGAACGCGGTCGAGGGAAAGTGGGCTGCTACAAAAGTATTATGGAAACAATTTGGAGGCGAACAAGCAGGTTATCATGAGAGACACGCCTGTCGATGATGTGACGAGTGATGAGGTAGCTCTTGGCAGTGAGCTGGGGTGTCATCCAATTAGGCTTAATATTAGTGAGGTACTGCAGCAAACAGCCGTCATCGTTGTCGTCACCGATGAAACAGCGAGCGCTCAACCTTCACAGTGATCCAATTCCCATCGCACCAAAGTTCCCATTCAGCATCTGAGATCGGGATTTACCCCTGCTACCTAGGTAGCCGGGCTCCCGCTATTGTGGCGCCGACTGGCCGCCACAATGTTCACCAGCCCACCCACGTACTTGCCTACTCAGGAAAGGTTCTATTCCAGATCTTCAGGAACCTCGAAGTTTATTCAATGATGCTGCGTTTTAGGGAAGAGCGATCTTCCTCTAGAAAACCTGTCATGACTTTCAAATAACAATTTCGGGATCATTGAGGTACAGTCGCCTTTGGCCGCGAACCTGCCTCATGCTCGTCTAACCGTACCTTATGCACCATTAGGTAGTTCCATATCATCCTGAGTGCCCGATCATGAGGCGTCGGACTGTACCGTGTGCAATGAACCAGCCTCACTGTAAGCCCCTACATCTCACCAGGACCCACATCGCCCACAGAGGCCCCTCTACCATCTGAAAGAACTTCACTCCGATCTGCTTCCGACCTGCCAAAACCGATGAACGCAGATTTCACCATTCAGCACTTCCATAGACACAACACACGTGGCCGACTACATTGTGGTCTTGTATTATGGAGTCTCACATTTTGCATTTCTCACACCTCACTGCTTTGGTAGTCGACAATCTTCGGGACCAACATGACTGGACAAACATTCGAGTTCAGTCACCTGTCAACAACGTCGATGGTAATTTGCCCCGACCTGCTCTGAGCGGCCTACCCCCGCGCAGAATCTATGTGCACCCCGACGAGCAGATCGAGGCCCTCCAGTCCGGACAACCTGTCGACACACAGGCTGCACAGCGGCCAGAATTTGAGTGGGTTGTGCCAGTTCACATCACTGAGAAGCTGTCCCTTCGCAAATTCTCCGCTATATTCGACACTTTGGACGTGCTGCCACCTGGGACCGTAGTGCAACCGGCGGAGCGGGATATGCTGTCTTCCGGACGAGATTGGAGAGGTGCTGCGCGCCACAAAAGGATACTCGTGGCCGTCATACACGCTGATTCCACCATATCCTATTATCTTGTGCACGATGGGATTGTCAAGCCTCGGCAAAACTGATATCGGCGTAGCCTTGACTGGAGTATGCGATGCATTGTTCAACGGATCTTTCGCACGCCGCCATGCTTTTTTTCGAGTTTATGGTAGAAGAAGAAAGCCTCCTTTGCCTCCACGTCATCTAATCGAAAATCGGTTCTTTCTAAACAGGTCGGACGGGAGCACTGTCTTGCTCGGCATGAGATTATAGCTCGAGGCAGGCTGCCTAGAGCCTAGACGACCTCAGCTCTGCTACCAGTTCCGCACCAATTTGTTATCTCATCAACATATCAGAGCTTGATGAAATTCGGCCAGCACTAGGCAGCGACGCACCAGTGTTCTTTCTGTAGATCGATCGTCACATGAAATGGTGTTGTGAACCGGCAAACAAAATGGAACACCCGATAGCGCTGGGTGGTTGGTACCTGTAGAAGAGTACGTTGCCATTATTCTAATTACCCCCACGGAGAGTCGTGCGCTAAAGACGATGGTGCATGGTCTTGCATCACCGACGACTGGACGTAGGCTTGGGTTGCTCTCAAGTTGGACGAATTCGATTACGGTATTTGCACCGCACTTAGCCAGGATTCTGTCGTTCACGTCTACTTCTTCCTCGCAATACACAAAGAAAATGATGCTGTCAAGGCCTTTGTATACAGTCAAATGTAGAACTTGGTCGCGACGCGAGTCTGGAGTTGCTATGGTGGTGCACACCGCGAGGAGGCTTCAATCGAAGTTGATGGCAGTAATACCGCTCCGTTCTTACGGTAGCATATCAACAGCGGCTGTTGAGACATGATGCTCATGGGCCAAACGCTGGCCATTAGGCTGTGAAGTGTTGGACATGGTGTTCGGAGGCCAGATCAAGCACCGTCGAAGCGCGGCGAAAGTCAAAAGCGAGCCTCGAACACATCAGAATGAGTGGCCCTTTTGACAAGAGACGGACTCCCCGCTGGCTCAAAGGAAGTAATATGTTTCTCTCGCTTCCTGCGCAAAGTGGCATTATTCGGGGTAGTGGGTGGTGCGGCGGTATGTACCGCAGTACGGTCGCAAGGAGCGCAGTTACGATTACAAACCAGGATACCTAGATCGAAGGGGCAGACTGCTTTGCCTGCGGTCCCACGGACCACATGGCTCTTGAAGAATTCCAAATGGGCCTTTTCACCGTTGCTTCAAGCTCAAAGAATTGATGTAAGAGCGAATGAGCCCACTACGAGTACGATGCCCATGTGAAGATCGCACGCTTTTACGCTGTATGCTACCTTATGTGAGGTTAACGGAACTCCACTTTCGACTGCTCAGGTATATAGGTACTTATTTTCTTCAGAGAGGTCCGAAGTTCTGCGATCGAGCACCCGCAGGATGCCAGGGAACTATTATGTATATGTTCCTGCTGGCAGCTACGTTCACCCACGTGCCGCCCCTCGTCAAATTGAGCACCTGACCTTTTAGTAGATTTCTCCGCCCCGCCACACCCACCCACCCAGCTCAGTGGCTCCTTCGAGCCGATGTCGCATGCCCCAGATACAGAGTGTCCGCTGCCGTGCAGGAAACCACTCACCGAAGACACCAGACTGCTCACTCTAGGTACCAAAAGGTGACGGACTGGCGGGCTCACAGGTTGGTGGGCAACAAAAAGGTTCAGTGCGGAGTGCCTACGTGCTGTGCAGCATGAAGAATCGGGGTGCTTGAAGGGTGCACCAATCGCAGGAAGAAATACATGCCAAGAGTGAGGCTTAGATGCGAGGTGGAGTCGATGGCTGGAGCGTTAGCCGCGGGCATGGCAACGGTCGCAACAGAACAGATGAGTGCCGGTCTCGATGCCTGCTTACCGGCTGGCCCTCCTCCCACCACCGTGGCCTTTTCCCCGTCTCCATTTTCTTGGCCAAGATATCATGAAGATTGCGCGTAAATCGATCGATGCGGATATTCTTTCGCAACGTGTTTTCTTCTCCTTCTCGCCCTGTGGTTATTCTGGTGGTCGCGAACCCGGAGCGCGCTCGCTTCCTGGAAGCATCTGTGTCATGATAGAAGCCGGTGGGCACGAGGCGGGAGGCTCCGCGTACCCTGTGCTCAGGGCTCAGGGCAGGAAGGTAAACCATCCCCCTTCCAGCGCACCCCGAGGGGTCCCTCAGGCCAGGTCAGGTAGCGTGGTACCAAGGCAAGAAGGTGGCAGGTAGACCCTGCCATAGTCTTGGCTGAGCATGAAGATGGAGGGCGGGGGTTGGCCTTGGCAAGCGCCCTCGTGCCCACACCCCACCCTCTCGCCTCATCTAGCCCATGATTTGTTACTGCTCTACTTGGTCTCGCCCTCATGAGCGGGCGACATTGCCAAGTAAGAGCGCCGAGTTAGTGTACCTCTCTATCTTACCCTCCCGCCTCCACCCCCGCATTGCCTACCCTGCCTGGGTACATACCACTCACTGTTCAGGGAGGGAAGGTAGCGGCTGCCCTTCAATTTGCCCTGTGAGGAGCGAGGAACGAGCAGCACACCGCACCAGTTCTGTCGCACCGCGGGCAGCCCAAGGCAGGCAAGTTCATAGGGTAGGTAGGCAACATCTAGAGGCCCAGACATAGGCGCTCACTCTCTATCGCCCCTCCGTCTCTCTCTTCCCCCCCCTCTCTCTCTCCATCACTTGGACGGCCTGCACGTCAAGCTTCTCACTACTCCTCGCGCTTTCGAACTCGGTCACCATACGACCTTGTCCTTACCGCACATATACTTCTCCCCGATTGAAGTTCTTTGACTCTCACAGTGTGCCGGGGAGCAAGTCGCGACAGCCAGCCAACACAACGTCTCAGCAGATTGGCAGGTTGTGCCAGCCGCTTTTACAGGAGCATCTAGTTACCTGTGCCTGCCCTTGCCTCATCTTCATCTCTAGCCTTTGCACGTTGCCTGGTTGCGACTGTGGCTCCTTGCAGCGCACCGCCTTCGGGGCCAGGCGCCTGCTCGGGCAACTGTGCCTCGCGACTTGAGGATTCTCAATTTGCGACAAATCTCTCTCTGCTTCTCCTCTCAGTACGCCGATCCTCACCGCCCTCACTCTCAGTTAGTCGTGCCAGCTTGCGCCGAAGAACACATGACTATTGAGAACGACGAAGATCAGGATTTCAAGGACGCAGAACCAAATACGCAGCTACTGAACATCGCTTCATCGTGAACTCACATCGCTTATCAGTCTGCCAGTCTTCCTCACCTGGACCTCATCCTGAATCCGCCCACATGGCGAGTTAACGAAGACTTGCCCGAATCTAACCTTGAATCTTTCTGAAACCACCACCGCCACGCCGTCACGTCTGCCTCGCACAATCACTATACCATGATCACCTCAGCAGTTCAACAAACCAACCACTACCAGCCTACTGTATCCGACTTCTACGATCCTGATGACGTCTTGCCTCACGACAGTCCCCAGATGAATTCTTTCAGACCCAAGCTGGAGCCTTCCCCCAGCCCGCCACCTCAGATCCCTCCAGTTGCGGTACGTCCACGTCTGAGGTCTCTGTTCGAGAACTGAAAATCTGACCAGAAACCAATTTTAGGCCTCCCACAAACAGGGGGATGCGGTCTTAATCAATTTCTTGAGCAATGGCAAGCGCCCTGATATCGCCCGCGCCATCGCTGTCCACTCTGACCATTCCGACGCCGCATCTGGCGCTGAGGACGACCCATCCATCTCCTCCAGTCCCTCCACGTCTTCTGCATCATGCAAGTCTCCCCCTTTCAACCTCGCCGCCGTCGCCGCTGCGGCGGCCTCATCCTCGCCTTCTGAACCTGGTGCAATCAATCTCATCAACCTTGCTGCGGGCGCCCTAGCCTTCACCACTGGCAACGGTCCAGACCCCCTGAGAAAATCCACAACAGACTCGACACCTGTCGAATCTGTTCGTAGCGACACGTTGAGCTCTGCAGCCCCTCAAACATCACGAGCTCGCTTCAATCGCCCCCTCGGTGCTACATCATCCGAGCCCCTCTACCCTTCAGAAGGGTTCTATACCGCTACGCCACCTGGCCACTCGATGCGCCATGCTGAAGTTATCTCGCCCATGTCGCCACTACAGCCCGCTCTTGGGGGACTGCCTCCGCTGCAAATCGATTCACCGAAATCAGATAGTCCTGGTCACGGTTCCTTGCCCTCTATCAGACAACATTTCGGCGATCTAGCTTTGTCCCCTGACAATGAGTTGCCGGGGTCTTTACACTCTGCCGTCGCCGCGTACCCTCGACCCTCGCCGGCAAATGTACCACGCATGTCTTCGATACCATCACTCTCTGGACGCCACCCGTCGCCGCCCACATCGCCCAATGATGTTTATGGTCGACACGATCTGCCTTCGCCTGCTCAATCTCTCATCTCACCCGGTCACTATTATCAGACACACAATGGGCCTCCTCGAATGGGAAACGACAAATCTGGCTGTTTCGTTGACACCAATGACCAGCCATCACTACATGGGTCGACGGTGACAATGCTCGACCGCATGAGCATCGACGGTCTCACGAATCCACAACCAGGCGGCTTCACTTGCGAATTCGTAGGTTGCACAGCACCCCCCTTTCAGACGCAGTACCTTCTGAACTCTCATGCCAACGTACACTCGTCTGCCCGACCACACTACTGTGCAGTTCAAGGATGCCCGCGTAGTGAAGGCGGCAAAGGCTTCAAAAGGAAAAACGAGATGATTCGACACGGTCTAGTCCACGAATCACCAGGATATGTTTGCCCGTTCTGTCCCGATAGAGAGCACAAGTATCCGCGCCCAGACAACCTTCAGAGGTACGTATTCGATCATCAGAAGTGTTCATCTATCACATAGCAAGAGTTCAGGAGCTCTTTCTCTCAGTAAGATGCTGACAATGATGCACAATCAGGCATGTTCGGGTTCATCACGTGGGCACTGACAAGGATGATCCGCTGCTCAGAGAGGTCTTGTCACAGAGGCCAGATGGTCCTAATCGTGGGAGGCGGCGGCGAGGTGGTACCACATGATGCGATTCAGGCATGCGACGCAACCATTTCTTCCCTTTCTTCTTCCACTTCACTTTGGTCATGCTCATCTTCCGAGTACATATTTGGCGTATTTTATGTCTCCGGCCTCGACCGGTCCTCTGGGGGAGCTGCCGAAAGCGGAATGATGTACATATGATTGCTGAAGTGATGAGGGGCTGGCTGACAATTGCTGGTTCCAGATCAATCAGTAGGGAACGCGGTACTGGGTTTCTTCTTGTAGGCTTGCGTGTTCGAAACAAGGATGTCCTTTCTCAGGGTATCGGACAGCGGACGACATGTCATGTTTCGAGGGCCTGCCTTTTTTTTTCTTGTTTCGCATCTGGTCTCATGAGGGAAAGCGTCTTGAGTTCTGGCGTTGCGGTGAAGGGGTGATGTGGCCGATGTGATGTTATGGCGTCGACTTCGTCTTACCTAAGATGGCTTGGTCAGCTATTCCATGGTGTCTCCATTCCTTTATGTGCGGTGAGAATGGTGGTTTTGTTTTATGTCATCAGAACAACGGGGATCTTGACGTCTTGCTTCTCTGTTTGCTGCTGCTTGTCACGTCTCGGTTACCAAGCGTACGCAGCATGACCTCAATGGCCTCGATGGCTCATCGCGCACGTTTAACGCAAAGGCAAAAGACTTCGTCTACAATCATGGGGCCCGAAATTGCTAAAGAACCTCGAAGCGAAAGCACCAGTGAGACGAGCACTTGGCGAATGCAAATAATTACTCGGTCAATCCAGATCCTCCCACGGGCGGGAGCGAATGAGGTTATCGCCAAGAATCTCAACCTCGATGCCACTCCATGCACGATGACTTCCTAGCTGCTCTATCACGATCCACAAACCCTCGTGCCGGACCCGATCAGGCTCGACATCGAACTCGGGCGTCCTTACGGCGGTAGTCGGATCTCGAAACTCCCCTTCGCACGAAATGGCATGAATAGACGCATTCGGCCCACGGCCATACATGACTACTATGCGAATGGCAGCATGAGAAATGTGTTGCCCATTCTCGTCCGACAGCACGGGGCAGCGGGCTGACGCGTATGCTCTCGTGAGGCGAGGCGCCGTGATGCTGGCTCGCTTGCGCTCTTCGCCTGCAGCAAATTCGAGTGTCGGCAGCCGAGTGCATAGCAGTCCTGCGCCGTCCCCTGGAACAGGACGTACGGCACATTCGATCATGGTCCCGATTCGTATCGCAAAATCGGACAGTTGTCCTGGCTCGAAAGTTGAGCAGACAATGACGTAGGTACCGGCTTCGAGGTTTGCAACGTGGGAATGCGCGCTGCCGCAACGATAGTCTCCAGAGCTTGCAACAACATCCTTTCTCCCAATTGAAGATACACGTTTGCCCGATGACCACACAAGGTCTGTGTGGACGGCGATATCACGACTACCAGTCGTTAGCAGGATCGAAAGTGGCGTCGACCGTGACACGGTGATGCTAAACTGCGGGTTTGCCGAGTAAGTAGGAGAAGAAGCGTTTCCGCCCGCTGACCTCCGCGTCCATGAGCTGGACAGCTCTCGGTAGTGACGCATAACCTCTTCGGCCGGTCCTATCTTGAGATTTGTAGCCGAGAAGAAAGAGAATGTGCAAGAATACTCGTTCAAGGGCAGCTCTTCGTGCGCCATGACAACAGTGTACGTTTTCCCTGCATCAAGGGCAAACTTGGCCAGGGTCTGGGGGGAGTCGACAAAGGGGCCACGGTATAATGCTCCTCCGATCTCCTGCACTCGTTTACCTCCATTGTCGAATATCGAAATGCTGGTGTAGCCAAGACGTCTAGCAACGGAGGCTAGCGACCCTGACCTTTGATTCCGCGCAATGCTTAGTTCGGCGTCTGCAAAATGTCTACTGAGAAGAATCCAGACCGTGTCACCAGTGCTTGAACATATTGAGTACTGTGGGTTGTGCGCAAATGTCCCACTCCAGCTCATGGCTGGAACGTGCCACGTGAAGTGGTGGTCCTGACGACGGCCGAAGCAGCTCGGGTTCCAGTTCAGATACATGGACTCGAAATTTTGGGCAACTTCCTCAAGAGATATCCAAAACGTACCGCGTGACGGCGCAGTGCTTGTCATTTCAAGGTGTGCGCCCCCGGCACTCCCGACCGATGGAGGATTCGCAGTAGAACGCGAGTGTTCTTTGAGCGCGGCTCCTTTCCAGACGAGACCGTCGCACCACGGATTCTTGACCAAGAGGCGTCGAGCGCCGTTCACTTCTTCGAGCCTCAACACAGCGTAATCGTGCTCTCCAACGAGTCCCAGAGCATCCTCTTCGGTGTGTGTCAGGCGTCCCGTACCCAGCGTGATAATGAGGTCTCTTTCTTGCTGACACTGCAGCATGCGACTCCAGGTTTGATTGAGATCCACATCCTCGCTAGATCTTATTATTAGCTCGAGTCAAAGCTCCATCTGCTTTTCCCAGGCAACGCCTACCTCTGGAGGAATAGTTGCTCAGGTATCCAACCCGTCAGTACCCAAAGATCTGTACCCGAGTTGCTGCCGGGAAAGTCATAACCTCCCCGCACTTTTAGATATGCTTTCTCCATAAGTGCTGGCCAGAGCAGATCGGGATTACGACGATCAACAACGAATAAGTTACGGTCAATGCCAGCTCGTGATACGGGCAGTCGATCATCGATAACTACCTCACGGAAGCAACCATTGAAATGCATGCGGAATATGTATTTCCCGGACTGCGATAGCTTTGGACAATCGTTGGTGTGGTCGTACGGAAACATCAGGCGTGAGAGAAGCTTTGTACACAAAATGTCAGGGACAACGCATGTGATACATATTCAGGTAGACGCACCGGCTTGCCACGCGACTTTGTGACAAGAACATCCATAGCTGCACAAAGGCTAGCTACCACAGAACAGTCCGTCGTTATATCTTGGACCAGGTCACTGTCGCCACTTGCGGCCATCAGTGCAGTGGTACCGTTGAATGGCTCATCGGTGTGTAAGAGAGAGCCGACGAGAGTGTCAGGTCGCTCCCAGCCTCCCAGAATATCGTTCTGCTGATGGGACATAGCATACTCGGTATGATCCCTACATGTCAAAGCGTTTGATCAGGACCTAAAACGTTAAATCATTGTTCTGGAGTACTGACGTGTATGGCGGATACCCTGCGGGAAGCTCAAATACATCATCGCTTGGGTCGGACTGCCATGGCGGAAAGAAACAGGCGTGTAAGTAGGATGATTTCCGAAGAATGGCCTCCTCTTCTCCCGTGATCTTGCGGTACGTAGGCGGAGATGAAATGCCGCCGGGCTCTTTTGATTTGAGTTGCTCAGCCCACGTGATCATCTCTCGACATTTTCGCCGCAGGCGAAGACGGTCAGTCGCATTGGTTGCCTCGGCATAGGCTTTCATATAGAAATCTGCGGAAGCAATTGCGTGTTGCAGAGCCTGCTTAGTGTCGCGGTTGGCCTGCCGTGACAGTTGCTCCTCACTCTGCAGCCAGGTCAGCCTTTGAACGTTCGTCACCTGCAAGAATGATATCCCAAATGGTTGGTCAAAAGTCAGCCTTACTGTTGCGAGATGCTCGGCATTGTTCATGACCTGATAACCTGTATACATGAGCTGGCAAAACAAGAAACGACTCATGAAAGGTACCGACCAACACACACACCGGCAAGCACCAATTGTGTTTCAGCACAAGGATCAAGGCTGAATACCACTAGCTGAGGCGTCAGAAGCCTCTTGTCTAACAAAATATGGACTTAGAAGAGATCAAAGGGGTTCATAAGAGCTCTGATCGAAGATGCGCTGGAGGTTCAACAGGTACTGAGAGCGGGCCCGATAGCATGATGAATGTGAATAGGCACCAACCCCTCTAAACGCCTCTCGATGCAGTCCCGTGCACAGTGGGGTGAACTTGACGTGACGAGTTGTGGAATGGTAATGCTTATACACCAATCAAGCACATTAGAGACATACTTTCAGTTGGTCGAAATGTCTCATTTGAGACATCGAATAAAGTGGACCACACGGTGTGTCGGCGTAGCCGAGGTCCCCCGCCCGACCTACTATGGTGCCTTCTTGCCTTTGGCTCTGGCGGATGTGCAACCGGCATTTCACCCCCCTTATCAGCTACACCGCGAGTACCAAGTGACGTGCGTGCGCTACGGGACCTGAGATCTATTAACCGAGCACGAGACGGCTCTTGAGGCCGAGGTCGACACCCGACACCCGACGTCGCCCTTTCCTGGAGTTAAAGCTGGTTTGCGCGCCTCTTGGACAACGGGTGTCTAGGTCACAGACACTCTAGGTAGACATTCTTTGATTTTTCCATCGCATGCCATCTACATCACCCGACAGACATATTTATCTATCCTCCGTTGCTTCAAACCGATCACAGGCGTGCAACGAACCGAGGTCGGCCAGCCAGTGCGAGCTACCTCAATTCGCGGGGATACCACCACGCCGTCCTAATTGGAACATATTGCGAACAGCTTCTCGGTACATTACTCACCACATAGCAGAACGACATGGCCGCGCAGTCGAAGCCCGTCAATCTCGCCCCATGGGGCCGCGCCGTCGCAGGCGCTTCAGGTGCCGTTCTGGCGAATGCTCTTGTCTACCCTCTCGACATGTAAGTTCTTGCACCACATCAATTACGGGGGGGGCAGCTCTTTCTCTCCCTCTCTCTCGCAGCTCTGCATGAATTGTGAAGTTGACTGGTTTGTGTCTCTGTAAGAGTCAAAACAAGACTACAAGTACAGGTCAAAGCACGGCCAACCAAGGAAACAGGAAATGTACCCGACGCCGCCGCCGAAGCCGCCGAGCCGCATTACAGTTCAACATGGGATGCCCTGTCAAAGATTGCTGCAGAAGATGGCATTCAAGGCCTGTACGCAGGCATGAGCGGGTCACTTCTTGGTGTGGCTTCCACGAACTTTGCCTACTTCTACTGGTATTCCATCGTTCGAACATTCTATATCAAATCAGCCAAAACAACAGCTCCTCCTTCTACCATCACCGAACTTGCGCTGGGTGCGGTCGCTGGTGCTGTGGCCCAGCTTTGCACAATACCGGTTGCAGTGGTCACCACAAGACAGCAAACCCAACGCAAGGGCGAACGAAAGGGTTTCTGGGAGACAGGACGAGAAGTTGTCGAGGGCAGTGATGGCGTCTTCGGCCTGTGGAGGGGCCTCAAGGCTAGCTTGGTGTTGGTAGTGAACCCTGCCATCACCTATGGGGCTTATGAGAGGCTGAAAGAGGTCATATTCCCTGGGAAAAGCAGTCTTAAGCCTTGGGAAGCTTTCTGTAAGTGGCAAGCGTGAAGCGACGTGGACTATATCTGACTAACACCCGCAAGTGCTCGGAGCCATGTCTAAGTCGCTTGCAACATTGGCTACGCAACCTCTAATTGTTGCCAAGGTCGGGTTACAATCTCGCCCACCCCCGGAAAGACAGGGAAAGCCATTCAGCAGCTTCATTGAGGTGATGCAATTCATCCTGGAGCGAGAAGGGCCACTTGGTCTGTTCAAGGGCATTGCGCCTCAGATACTGAAGGGACTGCTCGTGCAGGGAATTCTCATGATGACCAAGGAACGGTAAGCGCCACTGACGAACCGTATTATTATGTGTGTATATGACTGACGATCTGAATTACAGCATGGAGTTAATGTTTGTCTTGTTTTTGCGTTATCTCAAGACAATGCGTGCAAAGCAACTCGAAAAGATCTCACAAAGCGGAGGGCTACTGCAACAGGTGTCGCAAGTCAAGCCTCTGGTTTCCCGATGAGCAAATGCCAGCATGCGCGAAGAATTGCGGATTGCGAGGATATTGGTTGTGAACACATACGTAGCTCTGTAAGACCTGTTCCGTCAATTAAGTATTCCCCGGCGACTCGTCTGTGTGGTGCACTTCACGTGCATGCGCCAAGTTCTGTGTCCTCGTGGTCTTTTCGGTCTTGGTTATGTAGGCGTAATGAAATCAGATCCGCATTGACCTTACTTGAATGATGAATAGCCGCAACAGGGATCCTTACTAAAAGTGAGCCTGAGATGAAGGTAACGCAACACACCCTTGGGTGCGATGGTTAGGTACGTACGTAAATAGTGCCTTATGTCAGCTGCTACTCCATTAATCCAAGCTGCGGCTTGATTCTCAGATGTAGGCGAGTGTGTATTAGGTAAGCGAATAATCTTAGGGCACGGAAATCTCTCCCCACAACCACCAGCAGAAGGCCATTCGATCTGTAATCGACCTTCGCAATTGACGCCCTTATCCTTCAACCCGACACCATCTAAGCAGGAGTACAGTCGCAGCAATGGCCAGTATGTCAAGTCTAAACGAATCGCATCTTGTCTGTACCCTATTCTGACAACAACGTTAGAGTCCAAGAACTCCTCGCAGCACAACCAGTCGCGCAAGGCGCACCGTAACGGGTACGTTGGGAACTATTTCGACAGGTTGCAATGCGCAAGCGGAGGTACTGACACCATTCCTACCTACAGGATCAAGAAGCCCAAGACAGCCAGGTACCCTTCGCTCAAGGGCACTGACCCTAAGTTCCGTCGCAACCACCGCCATGCTCTTCACGGCACCGCCAGGGCTCTGGTACGAGGCTCCCATCGGGACAGGAAATCCCATCCGTCCAACCAAAAAAAAACAAAAACAAAAAAAAGACAGATCAATGCTAACATTTCCCCGACAGAAGGAGAAGAGGGAGGCTGACAAGGCTTGAAGCTCCCTGGATCGCGACGATGGAAATGGGGCTCTCTCTCACGAATGGATGGCGTACCGGCGGTTGGGGTCAAAATTACGAGACCACCAAGGCAGCGGCGCGTGAAGCCCTGTCACCACAAGAATCCAAGACCGAGCCTTAACAGAGCACGGCCGTTTTCAGTCATCAAAGGACCGATTATGTGAACTCGATCGACTGTGAATATCCCAGCTAAGTCTGGAGGCAGCCGATGCTCACGATTATGCGCGCCCTCCAGACAATCAATCTAGAACCTTGCATCCTCACTCATCAGTCATGAACTCCATCCGGTACAAAACGAAAGTGCAACGCTGGACAGGACGTCATGTGGTCCAGCTACAGCACTGTTAGTGAACGAGCGGCATATGTTGGACGCAGTTTAAGCAGGTAAGGCTTTGGTTACAAGGCATTTGTCCTTTTAGACCGCGGAGCTTCACGAGTTGGCTTCGGCGGCCTTGCCAGGGGGAAGGTTCAGCTTGTGAGTAATTGTGTATTATTGAACCTTGTCTCTCTGCATGCTGTGTAAACCCTCTTCAAAGCAAAGAGACAAGGCGGGCTCTGCTTTGCACGTAGGAGGTGGGTATGTCGGTATCCTGTTCGCCCCGGACTACCGTTGTGTCATCAAGCTGTCGGGCTTGCCAGGTATTCCCTACTATATTGCTGACGATGAGGGTTCGCGTCCAGGTCAGATGACCGGTTCAGTGGAGTCCACTTTGGTTCGTCTTTGAAGAGCCTCATTGCTTTTATGTACTGTACACATGTTGAGCATGGAGCAACTAGGCATGAGGTGAGAGGGTGAGAGGGTCAAGTTTGGTCTGTGTGAGGCTGGGCTGTACTGCGGGCACGCACGTGAACTTACATTCGTTTCATCTGTGGTGAACCGATGGTATATACCAGGCGGTAGGATAATCAAGTCATCCTAACGGAGGAGTTAGTTTGACCCAAGCATGCAACTTGCCAAGTAAGTAATCTGGTACCTTCTCCACGCGGATGCGCACCCATTCATCGTCGCGACTGCGGACATCAAAGAATCCTTGCCCATCACGGACATACCTTATCTCCTCGTCCTCATGAAGATGTTCGTTGAAAAAACTCTTCACTTTATCCTCATACACATCACCCATCTTCTCTGGAGAAACAATGATCTCGTCGCGGTTCTTGTAGCCTTTCTTTGCGGCTAGCTGGTTCACCCCTTCAATGTCTGATATATTGTGATAGTAGACGCCGAGTTTCTGTAGCCCCTCCTCGTCGACTGCGTTCCCAGAATCATGGGGAAGCCGCTGGTCGCCCTGATCGCGAAGTTGTTGTCAGTCGACCAATCTCACCAAAGACGTTGCTTGAAAGTCGGCTTACAGGCAGGTTATCAAACCAATAGGCTTTCATCGTTGCAGGTTAGCGTCGACCCAAGATACGGTAGTAAATATGGGTGATAGGGATGCTGAGAGAAGGGCGTGAATACTGATCAATTGTCACGATTGATGGTGGACGTTGGTTGTGTGAGCGCAACTTTTGTGGTGGGGTCGGCGCTTTATTTAAGTATGAAATGACGCAATCAGAGGTCAAGCTGGTTGTGGTGCTTTGTCCCTCCTTCAGGTATTAGCATCCACAGTTCGGATTGCTCCACGTGTGCTCTTCAACGGCAGTTGGAGGCTATTGGGGTACGATACGACGGCAGCCGCCTACGTAGGATATCGACTTTCTCACAACACTATCGCCATCGCTCTTCAACATGGGCTTTCTGGCTTTCTATTGTTAGGAGATTCTTAGGATTGCCAGAAAGTTGTCCATATCACAATACCACTACAGTGCAGATTTCAGCATGAATGGTTTGTGCAAGAGCTAGTTGAACTACCTGAAAAAAAATCGCTAGGTAGCCTTGGTGACGTTCATGTTATCGTTGTCTACCAGGTCACCGGGCTGTAATCAGTCTCTCGGTCATAAGCTCCACTGCCGTCGCATGGAGCAGGGTGAAAGTATGCATTTTGCATCACCTCGCACGATTTTATTTTTCCCACTGGAGCTATCTTATGGCCCGTCAGAGATCTGTTCAGCCACTCGTTGGGGAAGTGAAACCGGTTCCTTTGATCAGGACACCATGATCGAAAGAACTTTTAGCACCGCGATCCTCTTGTTCTTCCGGCGTTCACGCCACTCTATTCATTCGCCTAGCCTGTCGTATTGGCGCCGACGAGACGCTCATAGAACCTCTGCGGCAAGTTCAGGGGCACCCATGGCCAATATGTCGTTGTTTGTGCCGTCCACAGCTTCGTTGGCTGGTCTCCTCTCGAAGATTCGTCGCCACCAGCTAGGTGGGTCAAAAGGGCGTGAGCCATTGTGCAGGGGTGGGTAGACGTCAGTGAAGAAGTACCATATGTGCCCAATGACCACGCCCATAATCTCATCCTTTGGAACAGACCCATGGAGAACTAAGCTGAAAGCCATCAGTACCCACGGGAGATATGGCGCGGTGAATACTAGGAGCCCTAGAAAGCTCAACCTTGTGTCGGGATTACGTCGAGACCAGATGTAAACGAGTGTCGAGGACAGCGGATGTCCAAGGAATGGCATTGACACCAGGGGCGAGAGAAGAATAAGACTTGTCATGGCGTACATGAGCAACCAGGAGAAATGCGCGGGAGAGCGACCTGATGACTCTTCCAAGAGCCGGGCATAGCGCTGGAGGAAGTAGACGTGAAACAGAAGATCCAAGGAAAATGGCCCGAAGTATAGAAATGTCGTCAATAGTCGCCAGTACTGATTGCACGAACAGATGAATTAGCTTGATGACCAGTATCGATTGCTCAGGAAAATGCCCCCACCTGCGATTTGACAAATACTGCGCGAAAACTGTAAAATAGTTGGAAAGGTGTTGCCATCTGACACTGCACGAGAGCACTGGTCAACAGTGTGGCAGTAGTCCACCACCTAGTGCATATCGGCATTTCCCAGAACCATGTTTCAAGTGGAAGTCTTCCACCATCTCCCATCATTTGGTCCATCTCTTATAATTTATTCCGGCACTGCTGCAGCCCTGCGAGAATCAGCGGTCATTGCCCAGGCTGGCTTGCGATGAATGCACGATAGCTTCCCGCAGAGACGTGACAGTATATGGACGAAGGAACAATCGTATGGATCGCAGAAGGTTGAAATGCTGGAATGCACCCCAGAAACCAAGGTCTTCGTCGGTTGTGGCGCAATGAGACTGGGCATAGATCGGTGTAATGGTGAGGTGGCCGCTTCAGCATCCGGGAGGGCGCACCTGCAATGCTGCTTGGTGTTCTTGATAAAGCCAGAATCATGACGGAAGGTGACAGATAACACATTGGGCCCCGCCACAATTTGGCGCCATCAGGTCGCGCCTCGGGAGATGGGTAAGGATACTTGACTTGCACGTACTTGCATATCACTTGAACCTCATGGTTCAGGACATGCATGCAATTATGGGACATTACTGCCCCGGAACCCTTAGTTAGGGGACGCGCTCAGATTATGTGTCCGTGCGCGGCATCACGCGCCGCGTTGTTCTACTTCATGTTCCTCGTTGAAAATCCGCGTGGCTGGTACCCAGCCAACACATATTGCCCAGCGCGCTAATTGTACTTCGAGGGCCTCAGGAATTCTATAGACGAGTTGATAACATCCCCAGATCCTCTACCCCCCATTCAGACTGTCATTTGCTGTCACCACTTGAAGCGACGAGTACCATACGAAGCTGCAATCATTACTTTACCACGAACGGCGTGCTAGACAGACCCGTCTCAGATACGCGCTCCGAACAGGCTTGCCTCTGGCTGGAACGGACCTGTGTCGCGTCGCGTCTTGTCGCGCCTCGGCATCGCAACGATACAATCCTCACCACCCCCTCCCCCCCCCCCCCCCCCCAAAAACCGAAGAAGAAAAGCATCTCGCTTGGCCGGAATTTGTAGCAATCAACTGCGGACGACATCACTATCTTGTCTTCTTCACGCTTCGACCTCCCCGAAAACCCACCTGCCTTCACGCCGAGACATCAGCACTTTTCTAGAACCATGCCACCACGCTCAGGTACCAGCAGAAAGTCCGACGCCAGTACGCGAAAGTCTCGACCCAACGATGTGCAACGTCAGTGGGACCGATTTCATGAGGTGTTCGCCTCCAAGCTAATCTGACATGAATCCAGCTGGTGACCCTGTTCCGCAACGTGCGAAACGAAGATATCGTCCTGGTACGGTAGCGCTCCGCGAAATCCGGAAGTATCAAAGTAGCACCGATTTGTTATTGCGAAAGCTTCCATTTGCCCGACTGGTGGGTGCATTCTGGCCCATGGAGACAGGATAGACTTATGCTGATCGCATTGACAGGTCAGAGAGATCGCGATGTCGTGTCGACCACGTGATGAGGAGATGCGCTGGCAGTCGCAAGCAATTTTGGCACTCCAGGAGGCTGCGGAGGCTTTCATGGTGCATCTCTTTGAAGACACCAATCTCTGTGCAATACATGCCAAACGAGTAACCATCATGCAAAAGGACATTCAGTTGGCACGAAGGATACGAGGAGCATGAGCTTGCTTGGGACGAGGTGATATGACGGATCCTGGGTTGTGGGCTGAGGAGAGGAATCTGATGAGAAGGGAACGCTATGTTCTCATTTACATATACCCTGGGTTTGTTCCGTGGGAGGCGACATTGCAAGTGCCAGCGAGAGAACGACTGGCCTGGGAACGTTCAGTTCGGTCATTGTCCTTGAGTGTCCCCCTTCCCACTAGGCGTTCCGGAGAGTAAGGTCAGGTCTGTAGCTAGGGCAAGGTATTACTACCTGATTTCATTTACAAGGTCGATGTTCGTTTTCCTAGTGCAACGATGAAATCAACTGACACACGTGAAGCTAGCGGAGAATAGGTATGTAAGTGGTGATTGCTCATGTTGCGACAGGATTGGTGATCTAGCGCGGTTTCATTTTTGGGGTGCCGTACCCGTAACTTGACTAGCGCTTGGCCAACCCGTACTACGTCACCATAGGTCTCATTCCACAGTCAACGAGTACATGATAAAAGGTGCTGGCACTACCTCCACTCTGGCACCCATTCTGTAGTATCAACCAAATCTGCCTCTCAAACCGTCACACAGACCGGCTTCTTTAATCATGCACCGCTTTCCCGTCACGCCCTTCAGGTGGCGCCTACCACTACAAGCTGGCACAGGCTTGGGCTTAGCCTATACTCTGCAATGTCGACGTGCATTCAGGCTCGATTCACAGAACAAGCTTGCGACTAGTTCGAGCAATAAGCGGACACCGCTTTCACATTCGACTCGGGTAACACTGAATGCCGACTTCGTGAGGGATTGTTCCCGGGGTAGCATGGCAGGTATGAGCTGAAGTGGCATCGAACAGAGCGTGGCAGGAATTGGCACGGAAGGCGATCTAACCTGGGCAGGTTTCGGCGCCGGTCTGGTCTTAGGGTTCTTTTCCCAGGCTATAGTCTTCATATCTGGCCTAGCCATGCTCACATTGCACGTAAGTTTATCGTGGGAGAGGAAGAGAATCCCGATGTCATGCACTCGATTAAAACAAAGCACTGTAGGTCGTACACCGATGGGGGGTTGATATCCCCGAGCTGCTCGGGCTGAGGCAGCGGCTGAGCCGGGCCATACTAAACCAGCCGTTCAACAATGCAGTATTCCGGTTGTCATTCGCTGCTACATTTACACTAGCGGCGTTTGCGCGGTTCTGATGGGAATGCTCCATGGTGCTTTAGTAAGCTATACACAGCTTGCCAATTTCAAATGGGCTGTGTTTCTCTAGTCAGCCATGCAAGGGTTAAGGCGTCGTCTTTGAAAGCATCCTTTGTCTTGTTGAAAATGTCCGTGTTATGGGCATTAAGCCACTCTTTCTCTGCCGTGGTCAAAATGTTGATGTCGATAAGGTTCTTGCAGTAAGGAGCCATCGTGACGTGTTCGAATCCGAGGTAAGGCTTGTCACCGAAGGAGTGCTGTGTCTGGACCTCCTTGACGATAGCGAGGTTCTCGATACGGATGCCGAATGCACCGTCTTCGTAGAAACCTGGTTCGATGGAGACAACGTTTCCAGAAGCGAGTGATACCTCTGCGAACTGGACCCTGGTACCGATTCCAATTGGACCCTCATGCACATTCAGGTACGACCCAACACCGTGCCCAGTTCCGTGCCTGTAGTCTAGACCTTCCCGCTGAGAAAAGAGTACTTGTCAGCACAATTTTCTTCATGTCGAGGTTGAAGCTTACCCATAAGTGCTGCCGCGCCAGGCAGTCCAGTGCAAACCCTGTCGTCCCCTTTGGGAATATTGCGCTATCCAGTGCAATGTTACCCTTCAATACAAGCGTATAAGCCAGCTTCTCGGCTGCTGTGGGACAGCCGAAGTGAACAGTACGAGTCACATCGGTTGTCCCATCGAGATACTGAGCCCCCGAGTCGCAGAGGTAGATTGCTTCAGGGTCGATGGCTGGGCATGAGCCACGCTCGGGTTTGTAGTGAATTACAGCAGCGCTTTTGTGAAGAGTCAGTATAAACCACAATGAATATCTAAAACGGGGCGCAGAACGCAGGTTGGGAAACGTACTTGGCGCCTGTGGATGAGATGGTGTCAAATGACAATCCGACATAGTTCTCTTGCTTCTGCCGGAGCTCTTCGAGTTTGTCTGCCGCCTCCACCTCATCCAGCACGGTTCTCTTGGCCACCAACTGGTCTTCGAGCCAGGCGAAGTATTCAATGAGCGCAATGCCATCTCTGATGTGGCAAGCCCTCATGCCTGCCAATTCAGCTTCGTTTTTCACGGCCTTTGCATCTCCGATGAAACTGCGCACCTCCTCAACGAGGTCATCGCCGCCAAGTGCCCGCTTCAAAGCCCAGGACGCCTTGCTCGAGAGAAGAGTTCGCTTTTCTCTACCCTGCACACCTTTCGAGGACGTCAAGGCTTTGACGTCATCGAAAATACAAGAATAGGGCTTGGTTACAATACCATTCTTTCTCAGGTATTCAAGGCTGTCGGGATGGAGTTTGGTGTCGTCAACAAATAGTGTGGCAGTGTCGAGAGTAATGACAGCGTAAGAGAAGAAGACGGGATTGTAGGGAATGTCGCTGCCGCGCAGGTTCAAGAGCCAGGCAATCTCATCCAGCATAGACACTACCATGCCGAGTGAATTCTTCTTCACAAGTTCTTGACGCAAATCTCTCAGCTTTGTCTCAACGTTCTTCCCCGAGAACGCCGTGTCTAGGATCACCACAGGATTCCTCGGGCGGTCAGGGCGATCCTTTCCCCAGACTGCGTCAACAAGGTTGCGTTCTAGGGCAACCAGCTCACTGCCACCGAACTTTTGGATCTTTACTGCCAGCTTCTTGGCTGCGGCTGCGGCAATGAGTTCTGGATCCACAGCAACTGTTTTCCCGCCGGCGGATTGTTCTGCGGACCAATCTTGCCATGTAGGGACATCCTGGAGACCCTGCTTGAGCAATAGCCAGTTGTGGTCAAGCTGCTTCGAGGCTTGGTTGAAATATCTGCCATCAGTAGCAAGAGCGGCCTTGTCAAGTGTAATCACTGCACAGCCGGCAGAGCCGCTAAAGCCGCTGATGAACTCCCGTCGCGCATCACAGGCCGCTATGTACTCCGAAGAATGGCTATCTTCCGAGGGAACAACTAAGATATTCACATAAGACCATGTGCCAAGGACGAGGGATCGGACCGGCCAAGACTTACCATACACGTCGATTGAATGTGCTCTCATGAGCTCCCTCAGTTTCGAAAGACGACCAGACGTATCGACTTTCTCCATGATTGGCACTGAGGTCAGGGATCGAGAATGGCGTTTGAGGGTTTCGTGAGTAAATACTGGAATTGGAAAGGAGGAACACTGTGAAGTGGCGAGAGCAGTCCCAGAAACCAAGATGAATGAGCCACGAGATGCCCGGCGCAGCGTATAGCTCTGCAAAGCCTTCCCTAACATGTGATAGTGATAGATGAATTGCCCCCTGTCAAGAGGGAACCCAGACTCAGTGATACTGGGTTGTTCGCAGATAGTGAGATGATCTTGTCTTGTGAGGGGGTACGGACTACGCACCGCTAATTACCTAAGGCACCTACCTAGGTAGGTTAGGTAGGTTGCCCGTGGTTTCGGATCATTCCAGGCAACAAACGCCTTCATGCATACACGCGTTCAGAGATATACCCACAAAGTCAATGAACCCTTGGCATCCACTATGGGACAAATCTCGACCCCACTGACATGCTTCAGCTGCCGCCTCCCAGACAGACAGTAAGGTGCCCAATGTATCCAAACCTCTTCGCTCGACGTTGTACTGTATTCCCCCGACACACGGACGGAAGCAGAAATCTGAGGAGGCAAGACAAGATAGACTAAGCCCCAGGATCTACGTCCACACATCGAACCCCCGCCGTGAGCAGGAGGGCACTCATGCACATACAAAGCTAGCCTGATCCCCGCCGCTGAAATCACGTTTACTTTGCTAGACAGCCGGTGTGCACCGACTATCGTCTCGAATTTGCAGCCAGACCCTTACGTTACATTATTTGATCACGGTAGTGAGCGATAGGCCCGACCTTAAGCTTGCATTTTTGCTCTCGGCTCATCCGTCACCTACCGAATGGCGGAAGGGAAGAGTGGCCATACCCTACTACTCCGTGCTTAGGAGATCATTGCTTTAATCACTGACGTTTGGGGTCATCACCATGGGAGAGTCATTATCACCATCTCTACAGGATGTCGAGGCAGTGAGTACGCGAGGCAGCTACCTTTGCACACATGCGATCCAGGTCGACGATCTAATACAACATCTAGCTTGTTTTCGCTCTGTATGAGCCGTCCAGTTCCCACAACGTAGGTCATATACAAGAACAACTTCATCGGCTGCAAAAATCATCAGCAGGCTGGCGAATCGCTCGCGATCTTCTTGGACATGCAGACGACAAGATCAAGTTCTTCGGGGCCTTGACCATCATGGTCAAACTCAACACTGAGAGGTGCGTGTCCTCGACGATGGTCTGCGAGCAACAATGATTCCGAAAAACCGCACTAACGCTCTCATAGTGCAAGTCTCTCCGATGTTGATGCATTAGAGCTCCTTCAAAATATGATACGGTGGCTGCATGCGTCACTGACAGATGGGTCAGGGACAATGGTTGTGAGGAAGCTAACATCAGCCCTGGTGGCGTTCTTCATACACTTTCCCAACCTTTGGCCCGACTGCATACGATCATTGTGTGTTTCAATGTCTTCATCGTCACCTTGGCCGGTAGATATCACTGCTGTGCCTCCCGAGATGTCGACGATCCTCTGGGACGTCGACTCACGAAAGCTGCAGACCGTTCTCTGGTTCGCTGGGTCGTTGGTTGAAGAAGCAGGTAAAATTGACGCCAATGCTAGCAAACAGTGAGTTCCAAAAACGCACGCAAAGTGCGACTCAAACTGACCCACTGGTTGTCATACGTAGCTTGGGCATATACGAAGCCATTGCCAGCAATATTTCTGATGTTGTTGCACTCATGAGCCACTGTTTTTCAGCTGGGTTCTCACAAACCAGTGAGGACCGCAGTCTCCAAGGAGACTGCATTAAGACCTTACAGGTATGCCGAATGGAAACATCTTTCTTAGCTACGTCTGTGATTTATGGTATCAGCAATTCGCGGTACCGCAACTTACTCTGTTTTATGCAATCGCGTCACGATGCTGACTTCGGTGTCATCATAGTCTTGGATTCTCTTTTCTCAGCGGCTAGCTGCGCGAGGTGACGAGACGATTCCGTTGCTTCGTTCTCTGATCCCCCCCGTCCTGTCAGCCCTATCGATTGCCGATCTATTCGAAGCCGCCGCTGAGCTTCTCTCCGATACCCTATTGAACTACTCTGGATTTCTTCTTGAGGCCCACTACGAGGCCCTCTTCTCGCTTCTCCTAGAAGACTCAGCGCGAGGCCGCTACCAGCGACTCGTTGATGGAGACTTCGACTTTGAGTCTGTCCAATTTGGGCAGTTGATGCTAGCCTTGGGCGACTCCAAGGTCCAACTGCTTATTGAGAACACAGGCGACCGCAGCCAAGACTTTCTCACGAGGCTTCGTGGGTTGCTCCACGCGCAGGGCTATCCAATCAGCGACGATAGGATATTTGTTCCTGCACTGGAGTTTTGGTCTACCTTTGTAGAGACTCTTGTCGATTGCATGTGCTCCGATGATCATCAGGCTCAGCCCTGGGTGTCTGCAGCATCGTCACATGTTGTGGAGCTTGTCTCGGGCATCTGGCGCAAGGTGATCTTCCCGCCTGCACAGGACTTTGCGGAGTGGGACTCATCCGACCGCATAGCTTTTGGTGATGCGAGGAAAGATGTCGCAGATCTCTTACAGTCATCGTTTACTATCATAGGGTCCCGTCTTGTGTCTTCTTTTGCGGACTTGGTGCTTTCAAGCCTGGCATCTGGACATTGGTTGGAACTGGAAGCGGCAGCTTACTGCCTCGGGGCACTCGCAGACTGCGTGGCTGGTGACATATGTGATGAATCGTTACGTACGGTTTTTTCATCGCCACTTTTTCACACACTCCAGCAAACAGATAGCAGGCTGCCACCCCGCACGCGTCAGACCTGTATATTGCTTCTTGAACGATACGCAGAATTCTTCGAGCGTGAGACCGCGAGCCTACCAGCTGCCCTGACGCTCCTGTTCTCTGTCTTGCCAGACGCTGCGCTTGCCGGGCCTGCTGCCAAGTCCATCCAACGCCTCTGCTCTTCGTCGCAGCAAAGTCTAGCCAGTGAATCAGGTGCTTTCCTGGATCAGTACAGCATGTTATCGACACGCCAGCAGATTGACTGTGCCGCGAGCGAAAGGGTTCTCGGCGCCATTGCTTCTGTTGTCTATGCCATACCAGATGATCAAGAACGACTCCGCGACCTCGATACCCTGTTGAGCTTCGTACGGCAAGATGTCAGCGACAGTTTGCGGGCCACATCGTCGCCTAGATTCGAGCACTCTCACCGGTGTCTTGTGGAACACGACGTTTCGAATGTCGCGGAGCACCTAGCGCTCAAATCCTTGAGGTGCCTCGTCAGTATCGGGAAGGGCTTCAAAGCACCTGTAGAGGCCCCTATTGATATTGAAACAGATAGACTGCAAGTCCATGCTTATGCTGGCCATCGGGAATTATTACTGGAGATTCAGTCTGGTATCATCACTATGATCCAGCGACTGCAGCAATCGTTTCCTGACAATGCCGAAGTTGTCGAGACTATCTGTACCATTTTCAGGACAGGTTTTTCGGAATCGGAGGCTGGACCTTTCGTGTTCCCACCAGATGTCGTAGCTACTTACCTGCTTCAACAAGGTCCACCGACGCCTCGACTGGGCCTTTTCGTGAGCGCGGCTTGCTCGTTCATTAGTTCACTTGGCAAGTCGCCCGATGGCGGACTCAATCTTATTCGCTCCAATCTGTTTTCTTGGGTTACGAGACTCTTACAACAGCTTCCAGGTGAGCTTCCAGCTGCATCGCACCAATTTCCGAACCTCATCAGTACCATCTTGCTGACCAGTCACAGAACCTGACAGCGATACCGAACTAGCTCAGAGTGCGATTGAATTCGTGACAAGACTAACTGCAAAGTGCCCTGCAGTCTTCCTTGATCCCGGGCTCTCGGGCTCGGCGGAGTTCTTCTACCTCTTTGCACTCCGAGTCCTTGATGGCAGGGAGCCTTTGCCTAAGGCTGCCGCTGCTGACTTTTGGGTACGTAACGATGACGATTATCGAGACTTGATGAAGCTCCAATACTAAGACACAAGTCAGGCGTCTTTTTTTTCACTAAGAAACGAAAATTACCTCGTACAGAGAGCTGCTGAAACAGCGACTGGACAACTCGGCCCTCTCCTAGCTCGGTCGCTCATCAAGAATATTGGCGGAGGGGGTGCCAGAAGTGAGCTCGATAAATTGAGCGAGCCCCTCAAGAAAATGATAAGCCAGCACTCTAAATCACGCTCATGGCTTGGGGATGCCTTGCGAGATGAGCACTGTGTAGGCTACCAAGTGACACAGCAGGATCGAGAGGCGTTTCTGAAGAAAGTAATTAGGTACGTGCTGGTCGTTGTGATATACCACGCCTTGCATTGCAAGCTAACAACGATTTTGACCAGCCTCCGAGGCTCAAGGGCGACAAACCAAGTAGTGCGTGAGTTCTGGCTTGCTGCCAGGGGTTCCAAGTTCGCCTACGCGTCGTAAAGTCAGATCAAAGAGAACGGAGTTCCGGTCATCGTCTGATCACACCCATTTTGGTACAGGGTCGAAGAGTCACTGAATTGTGATCAGTCCCGCGACGACGGATCCGAATCCATTGCTATTTTTCGTTGTGCATTCTTACAGTGTTGATACAGCTATCTTGGTGATGGTATTTGCAAGTTGATGTAGCAGTTGAGTGTGATGTGTATCGTGCACTCAGTATGACCTTCAGAGACCAGTGGCTTCTCTTACAATAGCCATTGTCTCTGCCGCATTTTCCCTAGCTTTCCGCGCACCTTCCGCCTCCACAAAGTCGAGGTACTTACCTTCATCGGCCGAAAGGAGGTCAATGTATCGCTCTCTGATGCCATTGAGACCCAGCACCACGCTCTCTGAGACCTTTTCCTTTAGTTTTCTAAGGTTATACCCTGAAAGGCTGTCGGCCAGTTGTGCGGGTTCTCTACCGCTTTCATCAAAGATGGACAGTATCTCCAAGAGATTTGATACTCCAGGTCTGTTGACTGGGTCGTAAGAGACCGAGTTATCGCAGTCTGTTAACGCCGACATGAGTTTCTGGTTGATCTCATCAGGACTGTCCGTGATCAAGATCCGAGACCTTGCGTCAGTCGACGATTTGGACATCTTCTTGTGAGGTTGCTGGAGGGACATAACGCGACGTGCCCTTGCTGTGACTTGGTTAGTTTGAAGATACTTTTACAAACTCGTCGGCTTGCGGCATCTTACAAGTCAACGTTTGGGGGACAACGAGGTGTTGTCCGTAGGCATTGTTGAAAACATTGGCACACTCGCGGGCAAACTCAAGATGCTGCCGCTGGTCGTCTCCCACAGGGACATGGGTGGCTCTGTGTACCAGCACGTCGGCTGCCTGCAGGACAGGATAGGAAAAGAGGCCCAGTTTTAAAGCCGCCTTGACTCCGTCATCTTGAAGCGAGGTGTCCGCTGTGAGCGACAACTTACTCTATTCCGCTCTTTGTCAGACGAGATCTGCAGATAGAGCAAATCGGAACGTACCTTCCACTGCGTCATCCGCGAGAGTGAGCCCATTGACGCTGTGCAGCTCAAGATCCACATGAGCTCGGAGTGTGCGGCAACCTATGATATGAAAAGTCAGGCATGAAAGGCCTCTCATGTGCGTGACTGGGCATTCGACTTACGGACGATTGATTGAAAAGAACAGATCGCTGTGGGTCAAGCCCCGCGGCTATCAAGGCGGCCATCGTCTCGCGTTTACTACGCCGAAGCTGATGTGCCTGTTGGGGTACTGTGATGGCGTGAAGGTCGACAACACTGAAAAACCGTTTGCATGCTTCCGAAGGCTCGTTCTGTAACTTAATCCACTGGCGAATGGCGCCAGCAAAATTACCGAGGTGCGGTGTGCCTGTGGGTTGAATTCCGGAGAAAATGACACGAGCTGGACGCTGGACGCCTGTAGTATACACCGCCCGATGACAGACCGTAGACGATGGTCGTAAGCGTAATCGCGTCGGCGTGGCCCACAAGAAGCGGCCCATGACGCTGGTGGTTGGATGTCAGCAAGGAATGTCTACAGCTGTGCCAGCGATTCCAAAGTCAACTGTGACTGCATGGGCCAATGTGTTAGCCTGAAGGGAAAAGCTGGCTACGATACAAACACACCAAACTTCTATCACGACACAATATTCTAAGGTACCTATGTAACTCACCTGACGAGTACCACAAGTCAAACTCTTTATTGGGATGAGGCTCTTTTATTAGAATGCCTTTTCGGGAGAAACTCCACGCTTACATAATGAATTCAATATTGATAATACGATCTTCCGAGTGAATTTTACAGACCAAACGAATTTGTATGTAAAACCTAGAAACACTGGCTGCCCCATGATCAGACAAGCTTCTCTTGGTCTTTGTCCAGCTCCGAACCCCAGAAACTAAGTTGATTGACCTCCCTCAGGTCGCAATCTATCGAGTATGATGTTTTCGTTGCGGACTAAGCCTCTCGGTTCCTCACAATATGCCCGGACACCCTGGCGTCGCCGCATCGGCTGCATGAGCGACTCGATGGGTCTGGCAGGAGACGTTGACGTCGCTTGGCAGCTTCGTATGCCCTCTACTCTAACACAATTTGATGTACATGCAGGATATCCGAGAGGTGCAAGCCCGTTGCCGTCCCTCTGCGATATAGTCACTGCTTAATCCTGCCTTGTAGCTGTGAATTTCCGACTAGCGAGTATCTCCTCCACCTTTTTCATTGTTCCCATTGTCTTGTGCTGCGCAAGATGTTCCCATTTCGAACCAATGCTCTGCGACACACCATCAGTGACTTCTGCCATTGACTTTCCGAGACCTAGAATCATGCTTAGCCTTTGACCAGAGGATAGCTTGTGGTGGCGAAGGCACTTACCCGTTGGGCTAAACTCCCAAACGTTGGCCTTCATGCCAATTCCGTAGTAAGCATGCTTCTGCAGAAAGGCCAGCCAGAGCTGTACGGATTCCGGGTTTCCATCCCGGATCTGGATCAAGCGCCGAAGTGTTATCCTCTCGAAATTCTCCTGCGACTTCTTGAAGATGAAACTACTCCTCGGGACAGTCCAACGTTCCGTTATACGAGGCAGCGGAACGGGGCCGAAGGCAGGCAAATCAAGGTAGTACGCCGCTCGCAAGGCGAAGTCGCAAAAAAACTCGAGGTTACGAATGCTGTAAGATCGTAGTTGCAGGTCGCATGATGGGATACCGAAATGGGCTTCGCGGCGTAAAGGCTTCAAGTACAAGGCTTGAACGCTCCTCGGAAATCGTACGTTTCCATCTGATTTTCTGGCATCAATCGTTTCCAAGGACGATTGATATACAACGGGTGTGGTTTCGCGCGGTATCTGCACGCTCATTTGTCGAATATGGGGAGTGTTGCGAGTGGCGATCTGTGACCCAAAGAAAGATGGCAGTATCAGCCCCAACCACAATATCAAAGCCATGCTAGAGTGACTGCGAACTTACAAAACGACGGGAGAGGCCTGTCACCGACCGTAGCAAGTTTGAGTGGCTCATGGTCGCGCGGAGTCTGCGTGTCACGGCGAAACAACAAGGTCCAAAATTCGACTTCGCCAGCCTAATGAATGGTCGGTTCTCTTGCAGATGGTCCCGTCGAACGATTAGCTAAGCATGGATGCTGCTGGGGTTTTGCGACTCCCGGACATCTGCCTATATGAAGTTGCTGCCAATATGAATCTAGGCCCTAGTAGTTGAGGTGCAGGGCCTACATTTTAGGGTAGTGGTTTTGTAACGGCAGCCAAATGTGTTATTTGACCAGGAGGTTCAAGCGCGTCCTCCAAGCTACAACGGTCCTCCATGTGTCTGAGCTTCTCACATGGGTTGCCTCGCCCAGCACACACCATGATCGCATGGTGGCTCGCAGGCGCCCCGAGAAGGAATGGCCTACATGCATAATCAACATCATACGGAAAGAACTTGAATGAAAATTTGATTCATGAAGCAATTGGGTATCTTAGTTGCGCCGGCGTCTTTGTGAGACGAATCTTTTGTAGGAAGCCTTTTTCCCACTAGCCTTGCGGCCCTGTATATCATTAAATTTGGCCTTGAACTTCCCGGAAGCCTTTTCGGCAGCCAGTAACTCGTCAACCAGGGTCATCTTCCTCTCTTTCCGGTTCAACCGAGAACTGTAAAAATCAGTTGGACCCTCTACTATGCGCCCGACATGCGCGTAGCGTGGCATCTTGGCTTTCAGCGATTCCTTCTTATAATGCCGTGAGGGATCCAATGCTGTTCCGCGCATCTGCAGAAGTTGCACGTCTCTCTTGAATTCCTTATCATTCGGATCAGTCTTCGGTAGGCCGAACCACCCTTGGCCAGCGTCGTCCAACTTATTCTGTGAGCGGTTGTTAGTCCAAATCCAAAGAGTATGTGCGAGTTTGCGGATATAAAAAGACTATTGGTATCAGAGTAACTATGAAAAATGTAAAGATCATAAGGGCGTGGCAGAGTAATCCAAGACGGACACACTGCCACATCAATGGTGTAAAGCATGGGTAGCTTATCATCACACATAAATAAATCGCGAAGCAGAAGACAAGGTTGGTAACATACCTTGGGGATTGTCTGGTGGGCATCTCGGACCGCTAACCTCTGTTGAGGAGGCCGTGCGATGCCACCTTTTGCGCCCACAACGAAAGACGGGCTGTCAAGCTTCAGAGTGGGCTGTCCAACATCGGTCGTGATATCGTGATACGGCGTCGCTGCCAAGCGATCCTCAGCTTCAGTCAATAGCCGATGAATGCGCTCGTCCGAGAGCCCTGCCATAGCGTATAACGGCAAGCGTTTGGTTTACAGCAAGATGGAAACGGAAATTAAGCCACGACGAGATCGAAGCTTGGTGGAAGGAGAGGATGAAAAGTGTGTCTGATGCAAAATTGAAAAAGATTCGGCGAAGATCTTGGACATGGGCAAGTGGAACCACATAACGCGGTTCTAATCCGAAATAACGCTAGCCTTATATGGCACACGTAACAAGGATAAGTCAGCTGGTATGGATCATACAGTGCGTGTAAACCACTGGTGCCTTATGGCATGTTGTGTTGTCCCTGGGTCCTAGGTAGTTGCACACTGTAAATTGCATTGGTGTTAGAGGGGAGTTGGGCATCCACTCCCAGCCACCACCATCATCCTGTCCAACGTCGTCTGTAGGTTCATCTCCAAAACAGATCCCAGCGAAGTGCGTGTTGTTCAACAAGCTGAACAGGACCAAGTAACCTTGAATTGCAAGGATAGGTCATCATACTGCCGCAACCGCTCGGAAAAGGTATTGTTAACACGACTACCCCGCTTCTGGCATGCTGGCTACACTAAGCCTAACCTCAATCTCGCGACTGACGCGCTCTAGTGACGACTGGAAAATATCCACCTCCAGCCGCATCCATCATTTCTGAGGCCTCGATATCTCACTTTCCCCGAAAACATTGAGAACAGAGAAATCTATCGAATTACCTGCTTGCTACGCGCCAACGTTGTTGTACTCGTAATCCGAAAGCACAAGATGGACCCACAGAACCAACAAGGTCGCCCGCAGCAACCTGTTTACGACACCAGTCATGGCGGTCACTACGGTAAAGCCCCCTCTGACGCTGCCGCAACGTCCTGCCTATCCTCCTTCTTCCACAGATTGCTGACCTACTGTCACTTATTAGGAGCCAGCGCTACGGTACGGCCACCTTCGTTACCCTGTAGAGTGTTATTCTCACAATCATTTAGCTCTCAGCTCAAGGGTTTGCACCTGCCGAGCTGTACACGGGTCCTTGGGCCAATGTAGGTGAAGAGTCTCCAATGCTGCCGATAAACGAGCTTACATGGTACTCCCTCGTCTAGGTTCATCAAGGTCTGACAGGCCAATATAAGGATATATTGACTACATACTGGCAACAAACGATCAATCACCTTGAAAGTGACACTCACGACTACAAGCTCCATCAGCTACCCTTGGCCCGGATCAAGAAGGTGATGAAGGCTGATCCAGATGTGAAGATGATCTCAGCGGAGGCTCCAATCCTGTTCGCCAAGGGCTGCGACATTTTCATCACCGAGCTGACCATGCGAGCATGGATTCATGCGGAAGAAAACAAGCGTCGGACGTTGCAGAGGTCTGATATTGCGTCTGCTCTTGCCAAGTCGGATATGTTTGACTTTCTCATCGATATTGTTCCAAGGGAGGAGGCTTCTGCGCAGGCCAAACGAACCGCAGGTCAAAATGCGGCTGCACAACAGGGCGTGCATCAAGCACCACCGGCTCAGCTCCCTGGCCAGCATGTACCCCAGGCTCCAAACCATGCCTCGTCTTCGCACCAAATGGCCCCTTCGGACTATGGCCTCGGAGCTCATGCGATCGCTCCCGAGCAAGATTTTAGGCAGCCACCGAACATGTACCCCGGCTCGGTTCAGGCCAACCCATCAGCCCCCTACGGCCAGGCTCAACCACCCATGTACGGTGAGATTGAGGGCATGTACGGCTATGGAACTATGCAAGCCCAACAGGCAAGTCAATCGGAGGCTACCCTGCCGCTGATTCGTTTCAACTCGCAACAAGTGACTAATTAGAGTCATAGGCACCCATGTCATCGGAGGAGTTCGAATGAGCCAGGTCGGCCACAAACATGATACGTATGTTGTATAGCGTGGGGCCGGCTTATACTGTAGGCCTCGCCATCACAAGGTTTATGAAATGACTGTCGAAAGCAAGGTTTGTCGTACGTGGCGTCCGGCGTTGAGACTTTCAGCGCCTGGGCAGTCCTCTGCCTTCAGCCGTGAAGGGCTCGGTTTCTTTTCTTTCCCCTTTTGTATTTCGGAGTCTCCCAACGTTAACCCCTCTGCTGGACTTATTTCATCATGCCAAAACGAGAGGAGAAATTGGACAGGGGAGCGGTGCGCGTTAGTGGCGCTGCCTGTGTTGTAAGTCTAATACTTTGGTTAGCTTGATGTGCCATCGTAGTTTGCCTGGCGTCCAAATCAACATACTTCTCTAAAAGCATAGGGCCGTTCAGGGCGTCCACTCTTCCGAATTTCTTGTTGCGGATAGAGATATCGAAGAACTCGTCGTGGTTGTCCGATTGCAGCAGGTTGACAGTCTGCTGAAGCTCATCCAAATTTTCACGAAGCATAGCTCCATTTTCAAGGCTGTCCACAAACTCTGTGAGATAATGCACGTCGATGGCTAATGCCGAGACGGCATGGGTGTTGATGTGTTTGACCTCCGAAGAGAGCGGGAGAGCCTTGTGGCAAAGGGTTAGTTGAGAAATGACCAATAGCACAATTTTTATGGTCTTGTGTGCTTACCAAAATTTTGTTCGCGGCGTGACTCAGTGCATCAAAATAGATGAGTTCCTTGATCTCCCGTGGGAGGCCAAGGAGAGTTGAGTTCATTATGTTGGAAAGGTAGCGTATTAATGTTTGCATATAATTGCTTGGGTCTGTTGGCGCCGTGGAGGTCATCCTGTTCGCAAAGTTTCGTCAGATTCAGACCAGCAAATCGACAGAAGATTGAAGAGAGATTTGCGAACCAGTCGTATTCGGCCGTATCGACCAAGTCGTCGATCTTGGAGTTAACGAGTTCAAATATGCGCTTCTCCGCCGTCTTCTTGTTGTTCCGAAACTGCTCGGTCGCGCCCAGCGTCACAGGACCTCCCGCAGAGGTTGATGACCGCGCTCGTATCAGGAGCTGTTCCAATTCTTGGCAAGCAGCCTCAAAATGTTCCAGGTTGATAAGAATTTGGACGATCTGGCCAAGATACTGAGAGCTCAGACGCTCTACCAAGGATTTGCAGACCTTATCGGTCAATAACTCGTCTAGAGACTGCAAATGATGTCAGCAAACGACTAATTTCAAGTGGAGAGGCCAACGTGCTTTTCTGAGTGTCTCGTCAATAATGTTAGAGTGCTGGAAGTGGTCATCCGAGAAGAAGTAGAATTGGTTCAAAAAGTTTCTAATGTCGATGCAGCACAGCGGATACATCTGGGAGAAGGGAAGCACACAGGGGAAACTGGTGTAACAGATCAGTCAGTACAACTAACGATGCCCGTGGCTCCTGACTTAGTTTGCAGATGCTCACCTGAGGTCTTCCGGTGACTTGTCCTGCGAAAACCAGCTAACGTTAACGACTTTCTCGTACTCTTCACGGCTGTTGATAGCCATGGGCATGTAGTCGTCGGTAGAGACAATCTTCCTCCATTAGCAGAGCTCCCACCTCTGTACAAGAACTGAAGAATGTGTACCTCCTGAAAGTCCTCACTGAAGCGACGCTTTAAAAGCTCCGCATACTTATCGAACAGGGTCAACAGAAATGCATCCAGTGCTGTCACGGAGTAACCCCAGCCCTAGACGCAAGCGTGTGTGAGCAGAGCAGGAATAGAGACGTGCGGTCAGCAGAGACAATCCTACCTCCATGGTCTGGATGAAGAGAGCCATAACACCTTTAATTTTTAAAAGGACTTCGGCATTGCTGACTTCGTCTAGTGCTGTCGATGTCAACCCAATCGCAGTATGGCACATGGAGTCCCAAAGCTCGTCGACCTGGAGGGGGCGTTAGCATCCGCGCAAGCAGGCGCCTTGTGGTTTGTCTTACATCAGCGATTGATCGCAAATTAGGTGTTCTTCGCATGGTCGCCTTCTCGACTATGGCAAACCCCGCAACTCCTTCGAGTAAGCTGCTTAGTGAGTTCTCGTCTTCGGCTGTCAGTCCTACAGTACCTGGCAGCAACAAGTCCTTTTGCTGCCGCCGTGTGGCAGAATATTCAGCGCGGAATCTATCCCTCTGTCCAAGTGCGTCGTGAATATGCAGGCATTCGAAAAGAGGGGTGAAGTCAACTTGAAGCTCCTCGTTATCTAACTCGTCAAACTCCTCACTTTCGTCATACGCCAGCTCAATGGATGAGTTGAGTTTGAATCGATTCAAATAAGAGTCGCTTTCGATTCTCTCTCGCTGCCTGGCCCGTCGAAGTTCCGTATGATAGAAGGCCACTTCGCCGAGAAATTGAGACGTCTCACGAATACGGAATAGCCAGGTGTTGAGGTCCGTCATGACGGCTTCAGATATCGACTTCTGCGATTGTGGGATGGATTTTTGAATGACATCAGCCAACTTGTGCTGCGTGGCGTATTTATTTTGTATGATTGGCACAAGGTGCTCGTTCTGCAAGTCCTCTAGGGATTTCAGGGCTGCATAGTATTTCTTCTTGCGAATCAGCTCGTGTGCATTATTCACGGCGTAAAGTATCCTCAAAGAGTCCTGTAGCGCGTTGGAGGCATCGGCGATGTTTTGTCGGACAGCTCTCGTATTGACAAGTCCCCGTTTTTGGTCTGCCAACTTCTCTGTGCTTGACTGGATGGACTCGTTAAGCTCAAGAATTTCTGCAGTCAAAGTCACAGTCCCTTCGCGAATCTGCTGCAGCTGAGTGACTGAGCCAAGAAACTCCTCGTGCTTGGTGAGACCGATTCTTTCAATATCTGCTTCTCTGCCTTCGGAATATTGTGAGAGTGTTTGCAATAGTGCAGGGGTGCGGCCTGAGCTGGATGCGTCCTTCAACACAGGAATGAGTTGATCCAAGAAGTCGGCATTGGAAGAGAGGACGATGATCTGAGACGAACGAAAATGGTGAGCTATGATCTGCGTTGAAAGTTCCGACGGGAATGATCTGCATGACCGGCTTAGTTGGCTCACCTCTTGAACTGCGATGCCGTAGTCATCGTAGTTCTGGACACGCCGAGGCATGTTGGAGTGCACCAATGTCGCGATGCCGTTCGGTTTGGTACGGCTACCTGCACATCTCAGCAATAACTTCGAGTTGGCACAGCCGAAGCGTTCAATGGTTGAACTCGTGCTTGAATTGCAGGGACGATGGGGGTGCGACTTCTGAATCAAGATGCCTCAGTACGGTACCTAGGTAGGAAGGTAATTCATCAGATGGACAATTAGCATACGGCGACAGTACACGAAGCACCCACCCACCTATCCCCCAGTGACCACCCGCATGAGCTTCTTGAGCCGCGAAGTGGTCCGTGCAACTACACCTCCCACTCCGGGTCAACCTGTGGAATGGCACGAGGCAGTTGCCTTTGCTGCATAGGTAGATTGAGGGCAGCTCGTGATTCACACGCACTTATCCTAACCATGGCAACGTGTATGTTATTTTTCTGCCGCATGATCCAAAATCATCCAGAGTAAGAGGATGATGATATTAGATAGCGCAACTGCATGGGCATTTGTCGTCGGTCTTTAATGCACGTACTACACTCCGTGTCTTCTGGTTTACCCCTTGTTCCGATATCCAGACCATCAGTCAAGCTTGTTTACATCTAAAATACTACAACACGCATATCCACACCTGTCGTTTTAATGCGATCCGGTGTGCCAACGGCCGGACACTGAAAAACCTCACTGCCGTGGAAGGACCCGATGCCTGTTACGTTCTGATGCTTTCTTGGCCACCCGATGGTGTGTGAGGCGACGTGGCTTCCTCGGGTCAGATACTTCTTCGACCAATTGAACCTCGGGTTTCCAATGAGGCTAGGGAACTTGCCGTGTGAAAAAGGTTGCTCTTTCCCTCTTCTCGTTCGCGACTCCCTTTGCCGGTATTTCGTTCCCCTCAGAATAAGACAACCCACCCTTGGGTGCCCAGGCTGTTTCGGTAGCAGACTGCTGAGGCATACGTGCAGCGCAGATATTAGCAGGAACGACTTCCTCCCGCCTTCCATAAGACATGGACGGCATGAATCTGATATGAGTCACCCAGGAAGCCATAAACACACACAGGGCTTCTCGGTGGGAACTCTTCACACTGTCCCAGAAGCCAGGAGTCATATACCCCGCGTGTGGCATACAACTCTCTACTGTTGATGGTTTCAATTCTCTCAGTAGAGCCCACGCAGATCGAATTTATATCTTCAGATCGTCTCCGTCACCGGATGATACCACAACACCAGTCTTCGCTTGCCCTAGACCCAATCCGAGGGCAACTTCCGCAGAGATCAACGACCCAACTCAACAGTTGACCAGATCATCGCACAGTTTCCTCTGCGACCATAATCCTACACAAACACGCGCAATGGTACTAACCCACGATGTCAGCGGTTTCGACCCATCATCGCCTCATTCGTCATGTGGCGGAGCGGAATCGTTCAAAGGTACACCTGATACAAGGCTCACATCATTCTCACCAGACGAAAAACCGTCTAAGACATCATGTGTCACTGAACTAACCGGGAAACCTTGGGCTGGCACGAACATAACCCAGTTTCCCGTTGACATTATAAGCAAGACGCCATCTATCGGCGACAAAGATCCTTTTGTGACGGTGTATTCCACAGCCCGTACCACCTCGCTGCTGTCTCCTACTGCCTCTGCCTTCCATCCAATCTCAGCTCATTCGGAGCTTTCAGAGGATCTTGCCAATACGTTGTCTATCAATAGGGGATCGAACGCATCAAACTTGGCGTCTCACGAAAGCAGTACTTCGCAGTTTGTTCAGATCATGTCTCCGGGCCATGCCCTGCGTCTTGGAGACATCTTCAATTATCTCGAGGTGATAGAATCCATACTAACGCCATTGTGGGTCGAAACTGACAGCAAGTAGAGACTTGAAGGGCTAGGCATTCTGGACCTAGAGTCACACCATATTGCGTGTAGGGGTGGGAGAGCGTACGTACGGCTCCAGAGCACGAGCAGTGCCACTGTTGTCCACGACAACATCCATCGTGCTCGGTTCGTCTGTGAAGCCTTACGCATTGACGGTGATCAGTGGCTCAGGGTAGGATATATTGTGCTCGGGAAGCTAATCGTGAAGCTGACCAGAATGCACAGCACACCGCTGTAACTTCGCCAACCTTACAGGTTTCGATATTAGCGTTCTCGCCCGTGCCAGGTGCACTCGATATTGTTCATACCCAAGGCGTCATTTTAAAACTGCTTCAATCTCGAGGCGAGGTTGTTGGGTACCAGTCGCCTCAACGGAGTTCTGGGCTCATAGTCTACGCAGCGTTTGCAGAGTATGCCAGTCCAGCCGATGCCTATTCCGCTGTGGCAGCATACAACGGCTGTTTGTTTGAGGTATCCAGTGACTTGACTGTAAACAACGAAGTGCGAATTTGATTTCTAATGTGTGTACAGGACATTATAATCCACTTGTCCACTCTCCAGGGACAAGATATACCCCCGCCAAGCGCGATCCAAGACAGCACATCAGTTCTCTCTCCAGTTGTTGGGCGAAGACTTGGTCAGTCCATGCAAGAGTTGACTCTAGGCAAACATGTGCCTGCGACACAGTTGGTGCGATCTCCAGCGGTGCCTCCGACCGGTCCAAGTCAGCAATATGCTCCTAGGAGACTGCAGGTCCAGCAACCATACGCCATGTGGCCAATAATATGTCACGCTCCGTTCCAGTCCAATATGACGGCTTATCGTCTGGATAATGGTCACCAGAATGCGATCCCGTCGTCCACCCCATCTGTCAATTACCAGTTCATGGCAACGCTGGCTACAGGAAATAGCAATGCTCAGGTAGTCCCCATTCCAGATGATTTTTGTCAGCCACGCACGATGCCAGCTTACCCCAGGCCTGATGTCCGCCGCCAACATGCATCACGAGTCAACCGGATGTCTCTATATGGTGTGGCCAGTCACCACAACCATGTGGACGTTGGCAGCATCCGCGAGGGTACAGATGTCCGAACCACCGTGCGTGTAGCCTCTCACGGAGTGCGTACATCTTCATACTGCTGAATTCCTTGACAGATCATGCTCCGCAACATACCGAATAAGGTTGATCAGGCAATGCTGAAGCGTATCGTGGACGACTCCAGTTGGGGCAAGTACGACTTCATGTACCTCCGGATTGACTTTGCCAACGACTGCAAGTAAGTCAGAGGCGCCAATTACCAATTTCTGTGTCCCCAACTTCCTTTGTGCCCGTTGGGCTGATGAAATTTTGTGGTCACAGCGTGGGCTATGCATTCATCAATTTTGTTGACGTAAGTCTTCTTTCGAGCAATCCACGATGCCAAAGCTAACCACTACCAGCCACTGGACATCATTGACGTAGGTCGACAGGGCGAGAGCCCTGGCAAGCCTCCGTGCCCCCACTTCTTCCCTAACCCCAGTATAGTTTGTCAACGCGCGCGGCAACCAGCGGTGGAACTGTTTCAAAAGTGACAAAGTAGCCGAGATCTCATATGCCAGTAGGATGCCTTCTACTCCGGGTTTCCGCAATTTGTTAAGCTAACATGCTGCGCTAGCAATTCAAGGCAAGGATTGCCTGGTGCAGAAATTCCGCAATAGCTCTGTGATGTTGGAGGCAGCGCATTACCGGCCCAAGGTGAATCGGGCTCGGAGAACAAATAGGCCTTCGCCGCTAACAAAGACACCCTCAGCTATTCTACACCTCCAATGGTCCTGTTCCGAAACTTGCGGGCCAAGAAGAGCCTTTTCCCCAGCCTGACAATCAGTCCAAGATGAAGCGAAGTTGCGAAAACGCAGAACACGTTGGTAGGTATTCCGTCACTCTTGATGTTGTAAGTGGCAGGCCTGAATGCTAATATGAGCTTTCTTCGTTGATAGGTCTCTTCACGCCCAACGCTGGCCAACACTTCCGTGATGAGCAGCGCCGAAGACGCTCACAATACGACCGCGGCACAAGACTTGCAGCACTGGAGGAGCATGAATTCGAGACAGCCAACGAACCATACATGCATTACTCCCGCTGAAAGCGACGCACAAAGGCTGGCAGTGGTGCCTGGCTCAACGCCGATGGAGTATAGTCCGGTCAGATGATTGAATGTTGGAGGATCCAGTGTCTCTTTGTTCTTCTCTTTTACTTGTAGACGTAAGATTGCGTCTGATGTGATTGTTTTGGGGTTGCTTGTTATGTAGAGAGCCCAGCAAAGTTTGAGCGGGTCTCATGTCTAATATTCATACGTAGCTGATGAAAAGTCATGTCGACTTTTCTGTACAGGCTGATGGACGTGGAAACATATCTCATAAATCATGAAAGTGAAGCGTGTACGGTGTGCTGACGCCATAGCCGCGGTATTTAACAGACTATGTGAACAGCCTTCACGAGGGGAGATGTTCAGGAAGTGCAGGCAGCGGTTTGCGAAAACCAGCACCCAGATCGTGCGTGTTTGCCAACCTATCCAAGGGGCTGGGTGGTATTCGGGAGCCATCTTCGCTCGATGGGTCCGAGCCAATTCCGTCGGATTGAGAGTCCTGTGCGTCTGAAGATGACGGAGTCAGAACTTGTTCGGAAGAATGTGGATTGAACGATCGGCCAATGTGGCGATCACTTGTTGTAGGTGGCGTCGCCGATGTGCTAGGAGAGATGGGAACATCCTCGCTTTGGCGAGTGACCCAGGAGTCATCCTCGCTGGGAGAAATGGGTGAGGTAGCAAGTCGAGCACAGCCTGGCCGAGGCCCTGATGTACGCCGTGCATCAGGAAGGCTGCCTTCGTGGCTGTGCTGATGGACTCGGATGAAGGGATCCGTGCCGTAGATTTGGCCTTGTTGCTGGGTATCGCCCTCATGGTCATATTCCACAATTGAGGTGGAAAGATGGCTGTTGTGTGATCGACCCAACCCAGAGGAATGCAGGGCTCGGGGGAGCCTATATTGATATTGCCGGCTTGAACGAAATGACATGTCCATCTGGTTTGGTGAAATCGAGACTGTCGCTCGCGAGAAGATTACCATTACCAAGCACGATAGTAGCAGTATCGCCTGTAGGATGGCCATCCTCTTCTGAAATACCACTTCGTCAGCAAGGACATTCAGTCGCGAGCCTAGCGCGACGAGCTCCCTTTGCGATTGGTCCCGCTGGTTCTCTAAGGCCATGATGGTGGACTGCCAAATCTGATCGTATTGTTGGCGAACATGACGAAGCTCGGATAAGACTGTGTGGTTGAGGCTGTCAATTAGCAAGTCGACCTTGGCTAGTTGTCTGCGTTCTGAGGCCCGCTGAGATTGTTGTAGAAAGCGTGACTGCTCCTCCAAGTACTCGAGAGATAGCGTGACATTTGACTCTAGCAACTGCAAGCGTTTGCTAACCGCCTTGTGGAAGCTCTCTTGGACCGTTGGTGAAGCTGGCGGGACTGAGGTGGAAGTGCCGTTCTTGGAGCGCGCCGGCGCTTGTGCAACCGGCGATGGTCTCTTTGGGGACCCCGAAGCAATGCGTGATGCATTTTGAGACGAAATGTGTGGTACTGACGTCGGCCTTGGTGTCGCTACTGTCACAGGGATGGTTGATGGTGAATCGGTAGAGGTTATTCCAGTGACCGACTCGGACGGGTCATCACCCCTATCCAGCGGACCAGTCCAGCGTTCTTTCAACCGTTGAGAATGTGGCAAAGCATCGGGGTGGGTAGCAGCGTAGACGTCGGCCTTTTGACTTTCGGTTTTGTGTGGCAACGTGTCCACGGTCGAACGCGGGTTCGATGCAGCCTCTTCTGGAACAGCAGTGCTTACGGGACATGTAAGAACCAGAGGATTCTCCTGGATAAGGGAGGCCTGTAGCGGTGAAGATGGCACAGAGTAAACCACATCACTCCAGATTTTTTGTTCTTGGCGAGTAACTTCATCTGCCTCATTATTGTCAGGTGTTGGGACGGTCTGTGCCTGATCAATGTCCGCGTCTTGCGTGAGGTCCAGGACTGCATCCACATGTTCTTCTTCAGCGTCGTCTTCATCGGGGGGTGCCTCGGTATCTTTCCAGGAGTCGAGCATGCGTGTGCCGTGAACTCGGAGTAGAGATACGGGGCAGTAATACTCATTTCCGTAGTGAGTAAGAAATTCGATGCGAACGTATTTAGCCCAGATTAAAGGGTTCTCGACGAGGAAAGGCTGGATATCTCTGGAGTTCTTGGCCTCAAATATGCCCAAGTCCTTCCATTTGTCGACTTTCACGGGATACCGGTCGCTGACGCTGACCTTGAAGTGACGGATCATACTGGAGAAGAATTCGAAGTTTGCAAGTACCACAGTATCAATGAGAATGTCGTCTGTGAGCTCGACGATGGCAAATTTGTTGACCGCGGCGCATTCGAGTAGCATATAGGAGTCCTTGTTCTCGACCAATATCGCCTTCGCGTTCTTCGCTCCGGCATTGGTCTTGAGGACAGTAGCGCCAGCATCGAATGATGAGTATGAAAATCGTTCCTTGCATGTCTTCCCTGCATCCTTACTGCGGTAATACTGTGCCTTGCCATCGTCATATAGAACAGGTTCCGATGGTTGCTCATTTTCGCCCGCGCCAGCAAGCGATTGCCGCGATGGGGCTGCAATACTGCTGAGCTCTTCTGATACTGCTTCAACCTTAAGTGCTATATCACTTTCTTCTCTGGAGTCATGTCCCTGAGGGGGTGGCAGAGCCTTCTCGGAGTCCGGGTTGGTATCTTGAGAATCACGTGCAGCTTCACGTGCCTTGAGATCCTTCCAGTCTTCGAAAGACATAAATGTTGTGGCTTCCGTATGGGCATCCACAGTGTTTGTGGTCTCGACTGAGATAGTAGGAGTCTGGTCGTCATTCTCCTTGCGATCTACTGGTCTTGTATCCAGGAACGAGAGGTCGTGTGCTATGTGTTCTGCCGTTTGATCGCCATCTTTGGGTACGATTGAGTCAGCTTGTTCCCAACGAACTCTATGACACTGATCAAACAAGGTGTCGGTCACGTAATTGATGTGCCGGGCGTGACATGTCGAAGGCGGCTCGTTCGCAGATGGGATCGGTGTATCGGATTCGCATGATCCAGCTGGAATAGTGGCCAGCATCAGCCAGGCCAGTACGGCCCAGCCTTGTGCATGCCAAAACATGGCCCCTCCGCTGAGCCGCGTTGAATGATCGCGTTTTCGTGGAACGTGGGAGATGCCTCATATTCGGCACCGACGTTAACGACAATGTAGCATGGCGGATAATAGTCAATAGTGACCACGACAGAGTGAAAGGAGCCTGTATGACGTGGGTCCTAGTATACTAGGCATGTTTCAAATCCGGACTTGGCTTTTAGAATAATCGATATAGGAGTGAATAAGTATAGAATGAATATCCTTAAGAAAGATAGCTAATAATATATACTTATATAGATAATACTTTCTAATAATTTATATAAGTTATTAAACTAATAAAGGAGGATTACCTAATAGAGTAGTTACTAGATAGGATTTATAACTCTTATAAAGTATAGCTATTATCTAAGATAAAGTCCTAGAGCCCTAGACCTATATAACTAGGCAGATCTCTATAGAGTATTATAATTAGGAGGCTTAGGGAGTTACTTAATTATAAAGTATTATATTCCTACTATAATAAATATTATAAAAGACTTATATTAATATTAATTATAAGGAGCTTATAAGGGTATTATACTCTATATTAGACCTTACTTAGGGGCACGTATAGAGTATTATAAATAGTTAAGCTATCTCTTATTATCTATATCTAAGCTAACACCCTTATACGCAGAGTAGAGTACCTCGGACCTAGGACTCTAGCGAAGTCTAGGTCTACTAGGAGGCCTAGGCTAGAGATACCTTCTATAAGGGTGCCCCTAATACTACTGCCTCCTCGAGGTACTATATCTTTATAGCTATTAATATAAACTATATAATTAATTTATTCTTATTATTCTTCTAATTCTTTATAGATTATCTATTAATAATAGATTCTATATTAATATATAATCTTTATAATATTAAATATTATCTATTATTCTTCTTATTTTATTTAATTATTTTAATTTAATATTTATATTATTAATTTTATATATATTTTATTAGTTTTATATAGGTTTTACTAATTTAATATAATATATATTATAATCGAGTAGGCTATATAGTTAAGTAGGCTACCTACCTTGACTTTTTTCGACTTTTTTAATTAATAATATAATAATAAAATATTAGATTATATTAAAATTTACTTATTACTATTATCTAACTCTAATATAATTAATTAATAAGTTCTCATATTATAATTAATCTTTCTATAAATACTATAGCTTTATTTCTTTAATATAATATAGGTTACTATATTTAGGTTTTAATATATTTCTTTTATTATCTACGTATTTACTTCTCTTTAGAAGTTTTAGTCTTATTTATTAATTTATAATATACTCCTTCTAAGTCTAAGTTATACTTTTTTTATTCTATAATATTAATATAATATTATATTTTTATTATAAAGATATTTAACCTCTTAGCTTATAAAGGTATAATTATATATAATTATTTATACTTTTTTCGTAAATTAATTAATAATATTAAGAGTTAATATTAAAGAGCTTTTTTAATAATAAGAGATTCGATTTTTAATAAATTTAGATTATAAATTAACTTTTTAAATAATTATAAATATTAAATTTATTTAAAGTTATATTATATTATAAAATAATAATAAAAGTATTAATATTAATAAAATAATATTTAGCTTTAATAGAATTAATTAAATATTAAAAAATATAAATCTAAACTTTTAAAAACCTCTTTATATTTTATTAAATTATTAAAAGTTAATATATAATTAAAAATATAAATATAAAGTCTTCTTTATTAATATATAATATATTAACTTTAATCTTCTCTTTAATTTATTAATTATATACTTTCTTTAATAATTTAAAATAATTAATATTAA